GTTGAGCATGTGTATGCACTGAAACTGAACCAATATCCAACCTATTTGACAACCTCACTCTGCATCTCCAGGATGGATGCAAAATCCAAGCGTGCCACTATAATCTGGATGTTCTGCTGCTTACATAAAATGCAACATCTACACATCATCACTGAAGCTATCTTGAGAAGAACCAGAAATCTCACTAGATAGCATGTACTCTATGTGGGCCTCAATGATAAAGATGGCTTTGGATTGGCATTTAAGGTCCAACCACAATTTGGTGGTGTATGGCACATGCATCTGTGTATCATGATCGTGGATCCATCACTTAGAAGTGGCCTATTAGAGAACATAGGGCCATCCTTTCTACTGACCTGAAGTGCTTGAAGCTGGAGATGGGGCAGCAGCTATTCACATGACCTGTCATTTGTGGTGCGGTGTGTCATTTGTGGTGCGGTGTGTCATTTGTGGTGCGGTGTGTCATTTGTGGTGCGGTGTTCATTTTTATTCCCAGCGATGAATCATCTTTGCCTGTCGAACTTCCATCAATATGAGGTCATAGTCTTCTCCAACTTCTTGCTTCGACACTGACTACAGCTGACGCGCCCTGAAAAGTTTCTTTAAAATGATCTTTCTAGATGAACTGCACGTCGCAACACCTTCAGTCCCAGTTTTTCATGCCCCGATATCTGCCGGACTCCACTTCCTGAATGCATCCTGGAAGACGTTGCACAGCGATGTCAAACCCAAACTAAACTGGGAGCTCTTTAGCTGGACAATACTTGATTCCGCGTTGGGAAGATGTCAACGACGAAGTCGGGTGGGTCCGTCCTACTTTCAAACTGGTGAAGAGTGCAATCACACTCTTTTTATGGGATGAGACTCAGGGTAGTGGGGGGATGTTAAGAACTTGCATCGATCATGGGTTGATCAACCTTGAATTTATGGAGATATGAATGATGGGAGTGGTTCCCATATAATCACGTGACTAGCCCTAAGCGCAGAGGACACATCGTACTTATTCTGTTTGAAAGCTGGTCGACTCATAGATCAAACATGCAGAGAGTCTTATTTATTCGATAATGCTATGTGTGTAAATGGTGAGATCGATGTTATACGACTAGTTGAAATTGATTTTTGGGCGCCCAAACGGAAACAGAGAAGCCGCGTCGCCACTGACCACCGACCATCCTCCGTCGCACCTGTTACTTTATCCACCATATCCCATATACCCTCATCAACAGCGCACCGATGCGGTATGGTCTGTTGCCAGAGTCTGGATCAGACCAGGAACAAGAACAAGAGAAGAGAGTGACAGTCGTCGCACCGACGCTGCCTTCGTGAGTCTCACTTCACGTGTTGTTGGCCGTCCCTGACCAATGCTTGGGAAAGAAACTCGGGCAGATATGGTCTGTTCGACTTGGATGATGAAGAGGACGAGTACTTGAATGAACCATGGGAGGCGGAGAGGGATAGTGAGGAGGAGGATATGGTATCCCCGTGCGTGATCAATGATGATCTCTGGTTGTCGTATGCCGTATTGATGGAGGGCAGGTTGCAACTACGCCGGAAAGCACCACCCCCTGCGCTTACATCCCGACCGCGGTTCACGCTTCCCAAGGCTCTGAGAAGCCCTTTCGCCACGCCCATCAAATCCACCGTCGTTGGTAGCACACCAATGAGGACCTCCGTAACACCTTCACCGTATGTATTGCGTATTGCTCCCCTATCATGTCTGACACTTTATTGATGCAGTCTTGCACGATCAAGGAACATCTCTGCTCGGCTTCCCACAACACCTCGGTCCCTACCTCGCACTTCTTTATCATCACGATATGACCTTCTTCAGTGAGTGACTTGTAGGGACCATGTTGCAACTGCTGAATGAGGTGCAGACGTTCCGCCAAGAAGTCCGCCCCCTCAACCCCGTCCTCGTCAAAGCCTGGGCTAGTAGTTTACGACTCTGAGGATAGCGATGCCGATGATGAGCAAGCGTATGCGTCTTCAACTACCACGCATCTCTACTAACTCTTGCATCAGAACTCCCTTGCGAGACTATTCCTCCATCCCCTCCTACGAGCCTACCCCACCGCAAGCGTTCAAAGAAGCGAAATGGACTTCGTATCGCGATCCAATGGAGGAATGGGAACGGCAGGCGAAGCAGGCATCTCTGGTTAGCCTTGGTAGCCATACACTCCCTCCAGTGACTGACCACACATTAGAGACGCGCCCAAAACTCTTTCCGTCTCCTGGAATCGCGGATGTCCCAGCAGCGCAAGTCGAAAGAGCAAGAAATTGCGCGTACACTGCAGGAAAGCCGGAGCAGGGACGTAGAGGAGGTGGAGCGCCTGCTCGGTCGGATGAGGGTGCAGCAAGAGGAGGAGGAGAGAGAATTAAGGGAGGCACATGAGCTTCGAAAACGCGATCTTTGGGAGGTAGGCCATCTTACCCATGTCCACTGAGGACAATGTGCTAAGATGCGCATGTAGCGCGTTGATACGGCTCTGAGGTTGGAGGAGCAGGCGCAAGCCCTGGCAGAAGCGAAGAGACTGGAGGAAGCGCGGAAACAGAAGGAAGAGGAAGAGCGGAGAGAGGCGAAACGCCAAGCAGAGGAGAAGCGCAAGAAGGAGGAGCAGGAGCGTTTGGCGAGGGAGGCAAAGCAGAAGGCTGAGGATGAACGCAAGAGACAAGAAGACGAGAAGAAGGCACAGGAGGAGAAAGCACGCAGGGATCAGCTGGCGAAAGAAGAGATGGAGATGAAGAGGCGGGAAAACGAGGCTGCGGCGGTAAAGAGGAAGGAGCTTGAGGAAATAAAAAGACTGCAGAGGCTGCAAGATCAGAAGTGGGATGTTTGGACTGAGGAGTTACGGGCACAGGCTGAGGAGTTGAAGGGTAAATCTGCGGTATGTTGTTTCTCCCCAAAGGCGGCCTTCTGGACACTGACTTCGATAGTTCATGCTCAAAGCGGTTGAAGCGGTCGACGACGGCGATAAGCCGCGCACCGTCAAAAAGGCGTGCTCCGATGCCCGGCGTACAATGCGTAAAGCCCTTTCCACCATATCACGCGAGCTTTCCGTGCTCTCCCGTGTCGCTTCCCAATGTCAGGTTTTCTTCGCGCAGGCCAGCGAAGCCGACAGGGATGCTTTTGGATATCTCCTCCATCATTTTGGACAGACAGTACTTGAGAGAGCCGAAGAAGCAAGCGATTTCAAGGAAGTGTACCCGCTGGCACACGCAGTCAGGCTGTTGATGACGGAAGGCGGGTTGGCGAAGAGTGTCGGGAATGCGGTGTGGTTTGCGATCAGCAGGGAGACATGGCTTGTAGAGGCTGTACGGCCGCCCCAGCCTGAAGTGCGCATTCTTCTCAGCCCTCTGACATAATGTACTAACAACGTCGGTAGGGCATGTCCTCCTCTGACTGGGAAACCCAATTCGGCAAGCGCAGGGAAGATGAGCCTTCTCTGTCTTACGCGGCCCGTATATCCAACTACGTCGCCCTATATGCGGCAATTTGCCAGTCCGATGTTGAACCTGACGATGATCGCATTCCCCCTCAATACACGCTGGATGCGCTGTGGAAACGCCTAACATCCCTGCTCCGGAGACCACAAGACGGGAACTGGCTCGTGCCTCATATGGTCGCTGCTATCCTTCAGGTGGCAGGGAAGCGGTTGGAAGAAGTGTACGGCGAATTGCAGTTTTCCAAATTGCGGGCCTACCTACTCGAACTCTGCAAGGCAGATGACGAAGCGAATCCACACTGGTTGGGAAGAGAAGATAAGGGCGAGACTGCCACTGCTGGAAGAGACAAGCTTAGAGCCGTGCTTATCGGTTGGGATCAGGACAAGCTTAGCGATGGCAGGGAGTGGGAGGATGATGTTCCTGGTGGAGTGTACACTGTTATTGAGAGTATGAACAGAGGGAGTTACGATGGGAGCGAGATGGCGATATAATGACTTGGACTGTTGAGTTGTATATTTCTGTGCTGGTGATCGATATCGACATGTATATTATTTCGTTGCTTCGTAGACGTTAATGAAAATTGATGATATTAGTACTTCTTTTCACAACGCACAGCCACATATATTTTCCGTGATCCCTTATTACCGGTGTCCAAATTTCTGTTGAATCCTAACATTGCACTACCACACCATGGCGCCCAAGCATTCTCTTCCTGAGGCTTCATCCAGCGCACCCAAACGAAAGAAAAGCGCACCTACAGCCGACAACCGCCTACTCATACTCGAAACTACACTCAATCAAGCCCTCGAATCATCAGCATCTCTGAATCCCTTGGTCGATCTTCTCGCTCTTGCCGAGTCGGACGACGCGGGTGTAGTGCACAAGGCCATATATGCGCTCTATCGGGTGTTTGTAGTGTCTATTGACAAGGGAATGCTTAGTCTTGAAGCTGGAGAGGCGGGGGGGAAAGGGGGTGAAGAAGAAAATGTGGCCCTCGTACGTGCATGGTTGAGGGAGAGATGGGAGGAGTATATCAACTTGTTAGGGAAGTTGATGCACCACGAGGAGACTGGAATCAGAGTGTGTTGTCTAGACCTTTCTGGTTTCACAGCAATTAATTGGACTGTGCAGACCGCTGCGCTAGAGATACTCATGGCCTTACTGAAGCCATGCTCCTCTGCGCTTTCAAAACGCACTCGTCAGCCGAGAATGGACGGTGCTTTCTTCCGCCGAGTCGTCAGTGCGCTGCTTCTCGGGCAATCCCCAGCTTCGCTCACTCAAGGAACATCCAATTCTGAGGGCGGGATACTCATGCAACCCGATATTTGCGACTTATTCCTCGCCAAGTGGCTTAGCGTACACGACGATGTGCGATGGTTCTTCCTACGCGAAGCCACAGGGCTCTTGCAAAAAGCAACCCCAAGTACACCTCCCATCCCTCTCGCACAGAACCTCCTCTCCCTCCTCGAGCGCCTAAACACGATGCCCACCAAGCCCAAAGAGGTGAACGCCTTCTGGATCCAGGAGCTAGCTTCCAAGCCCGCTAAACCTGGCATCTCAAATACTTCCAACGCTGGAGGAGAAGAAGATCCTGACCCCTCTGACTGGCTTTCCTACTTCGAGGAACCTGTGCCAACTTCAGATCAAGACGCAACTAAGGCTCCTCGGCGCACCACGAAGCTTTCAGTCCTCCAGAGCTTACACCACCTGCCTTCGCACCGTGCCGTCTTCTCTGAGTGCTGGCTTGCCCTATTACCGCACCTTACTACGCCTGCTCTCGCCAGCAGAGCACTCAGTGTGCTGCACAAGAAGGTGCTGCCGAATTTTACACGGCCGCTGAGACTTATGGACTGGATTGCAGGGTGTGTCGATCATGGTGCATCTGTTCCCTCTCCCCCTTCCTGCGGCTTGCTGACCAAGTTCAGGAGGAGTTATCGGCCTGCTTGCTCTAAACGCCCTGTTCACATTGATGAAGGATCATAACTTGTGCGTAGGCGCCCTCAGGGAGTCTTCTCGAGTGCTCATAACAAAACAGAGATTATCCGGACTTCTACAAACGCCTGTATGCTTTCCTCACCCGTGACGTCCTGCACCTCAAATACCGCGCCCGTTTCTTCCGTCTCACAGAGCTCTTCCTGTCTTCTACGTGCGTCTAACCCAACCCTATGTCTTCGTTGCTGACTCCCCCACTCCAGTCACCTCCCCGTCGCGCTCCTAGCTTCCTTCCTCAAGCGTCTCTCCCGTCTCTCCCTCTCTGCACCGCCATCGGCTCTCGTCCTCCTGCTTCCCTTGACATACAACATCCTCAAAGCCCACCCATCGCTCATGCCCATGCTTCATCGTGAACCGCCAGCAGCAGGAGAAGACACAGACCCGTTTGACCCCCAGGAGCCAGATCCCATGAAGACGAATGCACTTGGAAGCTCACTTTGGGAGCTTGCGAGCCATAGAGAACATTATCTCGCGAGTGTGAGCACTATGGCGCGCATCTTATCAGAACCGTTCACAAAGCCGTCGTATGCGCTGGAGGACTTCCTTGACCATACATATGGAACCGTGCGTCTTTTCCCCCCTTATTAGCTGCATGCTTAATGTGACAAAGATGTTCGAAACGGAGATCAAGAGGAAAATCAAGCGCGACCCGGCGCTTGCGGGGGACTATCAGGGGGAGATATTCCCGCCTGCTACGATGGCGCTAGGGATGGAGAAGGAGAACGGAGAGAAGATAGGGGATGTCGTGGCACAGTTATGGGGATTCGGAGTTATGGTATGACAGCATATATCGTACAATCTATGTCCAGATGCGAGGTGTAAGTACATGTCGTAGATTGCTCATGAGTCGTTATCATTCCCATCCTATTGCCCTTCTTCCTCCGCTGCCCCCGGCAAGCCCCACATGCCACCTGCGTGGTTGGGGTTTGCAACCAGCAGATCATCGTCATGGTTCTGAGTGTCTATACCAACCGTAAGCCTTTCGCGCCTAGGCACGTACCGAACAAAACTTTCCTTTCCGCCGCTCAACATACTCCGCATCGATCTCCGCCATTATCTTCTTCTGCATCTCTTCCATCTCCTCCGCAGTGCTACATGTTCGATACCGCTCTATCAGTCGCCTACCAGAGCGTCAGTAAGGGTATCTCTCCAAAGAATAAGGGTGCGCACTGATTGACAGTCCAGAACGAATGGCCCCAGCTGAACTTGCTCATCAATGTCTCAGCGTACGAGTCAAACCCGGTGATGTAAAAAGCGGCTGCAAGGGCTTCGACGCAGTTCAACCGCCAGGGCTTGCCGTAGTTCACAGGGTTGGTCGCAACGAGGTATGGCACTGTCATACATTAGCTTCAAGCTTAGAGGGAAGCGGGGGAGGGCGAACGTAGACGCTCGTTCGGGGAACGGATCTTAGAGAATGGTACGTCGTCTAACCGAGCCCAGGAGCACTCTACAACAGCAACCCCTGCCTCTTGCACGATTTCCCGATCGGAGGGGGACACGACTGAGGTGCCTTTCGGTCTACCAAGCGATGAGCTTTGCGGTTTGGGTCAACAAGGCTGACACACGTTACGACTATCCCTCGAAATCTCTGACCAACTCTCATGTCCTTAATCAACCCGAGACGAGCTAATTTCTTGCCAGAACATCGCTTCGGATCGCACTGGTCGAAGTCCTGAACAATGTGAGCGTGATGCGTAGCACCGATCTCAGATGTACACATACCCACATGGCTACCGGTACGTCAATTTTCACTGGCTCGTCGGATCCCTCTAAGGAAGTGTTGATATCGTGCAAAGTGTAATGAGACGATATCGAGCTTACCTGAATCCTCATCCTGTGTGCCCTCATCCTGTGCCTCGTCTGGCCCATCCTCATCCACCGCCGATTCGGGTCGCTCATGGCTGTCATACATATATCGAGCTGCATGACCATGACCACGCCCTCCTCTCGCTGATCCTCGACCTCTTCCTCGACCTCGTGCGGCTGGTTTCTTGCCCATGGTTGAAAAAGTCTATGGAACACAGAATAATTCTGCGTCAAAGAAATCACATGTCGTCCAGTGGCAGTGTGTCGGCGATAGAAGGGTATTCGTAGCGCCGATCCACAAAAAGCATCAATTATCGCAACAAATTCATTCATTTGTCACTTTGAAATCTTTTCTGCATTTCCTAGTGTCGTGTAATTCATGATTCTTTGCACTGCCCAACAACATCGACAGGCGCATGTCCGTCGGCCGAAAACTCGCAGAAGTCCCTGATCCGCTCGTGTGACGTTGTGTCGCTGACTGGGCGCTTGCTATTTCTGGCACAACATACGGGTACTTAAACTGCCAAATTTCCTCGTCTGTACCCCAACTTCTTCACTACTCAAGAAACAAAACTGCCTCAGACCACTTAATATGGCTACATTTGCACGATCAGCATTCAATGTCAAAGCATACAGCGCAATTCGCCCCGTATTTCCACCACAGTTCTTTGAAGGCATCTACGCCTATCACGCGAATGCCGGAAAGGGCAAGGGAGAGTTCAAGCGATGTGTCGATTTGGGATGTGGTACAGGTGCGCATCACTGAGCTTTTCAGACTAGCGCATTTCTGATGTCGCGTCTGTCGCCTCTCTAGGACAAGCGACAACCGTCCTTGCGGAGAAGTTCGATGAAGTCATCGGTGTCGAACCAAGCGGACCTATGGTCGAACGTGCCAGAAACCTGCTCCGTGAGACCGAAGAACTCAAAGTGGTAGGGGACAAAGTACGTTTTGTTCAGAGTGCTGCAGAAGAGTTGCCGTTCCTGGAGGATGAGAGTGTCGATATGGTTACCGCCAGTGCGTATCCTCTTTCCCATTATCGTAACCTCAGACTGATTTGCATACAGGCCAAGCTGCACATTGGTTTGACTACTCAAGATTGTGGCCTGAATTGGGTCGCGTTCTCAAGCCGAATGGTGCCGTTGCGTTCTTCGTAAGTCGTTGTTCTCACCTCCCTTATCTCTTTGGCTCACTGCTTCTTGCAGGGTTACGGCGAGATGCGTCTCCCTGACCACCCGTCATCGACTTCCCTCATCGGGGAGTTCACCCATGGTCCCGAACTCGATTCGAACTGGGAACAACCTGGACGGTCCATCGTCGAAGCACTCTTAGACCCCATTCCTTCCCCAGGTCTGCCGTTCGACCCCTCCACGGAACAGCGAATCAAGTACAGCGGTTCCTATTTCCCCAAACCCGAGGTACCCGACCCGCAACCCGTGATCCTGTCTAAACGCATGAATCGGCAGGACCTGGATACCTATGCAAGGACGTTCAGCGCCCTGCATACGTTCTGGGAGAAGCATCCGGAAGACAAGCAACGGTCTGACGGAGACTTCGCGACCCGCTTTGTAGCAAGGATGATGCAAGTTATTTCAGAAGATGGTGGGAATACGAATGAGTTCACTGTGGACTGGCCAGCAGGGTTAATCTTAGTTAAAAAGGCTGCATAGAGGAAGGACGGCAACGTGTTTCATTAGAACTGCATGAAATCATATACATTTATCATGAGCGCTTGATATCGCTCAAGGAACTGGAGTTTAGAATTAGATGAAGGGAGTAAATCATTAGTTGAAGCAAGGAAACCTTCGAATTTCGTGTGTCGATGATATTATTGAGTGTGACATTACTGTATTTCAGCTGAATTCGAATCCCCAACGAACATATGCAAGATAAGTCTTGAACCGAAGTCAGGCAGTTTCACACCTGTGGTCTGTCAAACAATGGGAGAGACCATGAGGTTAGAAAACATACCTCCTCTGGCCATTGTTCAAGGAGGTTCCCCACCTAGTTTATACCCTCCTGGTACCTTTCAAGTCTAGCAGTGTGATGCCGACTTCTTGAAGCTTGTCGGAAATGCAGATAAAACGTCTGGCCACTTCAGGATCGGCGATCTCTACCAGGTTGGACCAATATAAAAGATACATGTAGTGTTCCTCCTCTAGAAGAGCACCCTCACGTGTACGAATAGTCCTCAGGACAGAATTTGGGGATGCCAGCAAGGAGTCTAGGACCTCCCATTGGAGGTTAAGATTATGCAAGTATCCTTCGTATCTTTGGACCAACGGGATGTGGAGCTCTTCAAGAGCAATGAGCGACTGAATTAAAGGTCCGTCGGGAATCCATGGCACGCTCAAATGTCGCAAGCGCGAGAAGGAAGCCGAGAACATTAATGGCCACAAAAGTGGTTTAGACAGGATTTGGCTGTCGATCACGCAATCGGTGAGCGTTTTGCGATGGCGAGTGAGAAACTCCGTCAAGATTCGGGGGTCAGACAGGTCGATGTCCAAGATGGCGTGAACCTTTCTGAGGACTGGCGAAAAGATATTCCGAAGCGTGTTGGCCATGATGAAAATATCGATTGTGTGGTGGTGGATCCTGAGATGCTGTAGGTGGGGGAGGATGATGGGAGAGCACAATGGATGTTCGAGAAAGCTGATTGCTTGCACCGGCCACATTTCGAATCTAAGGACCAGTCGTTCAAGACGAGTCAGCTTCGCAAAGCTTTGGAGTGTGTCGACTGTTATAGAAGAACTGGTGACAGCGATGTCAAGCTTTTCCAAAGTCCCTCCGCAGTATTCGTTGATTGCGATGATGTCGATCGCCTCTACTGGACGACTGACGCATATTTCTTTGAAGTTGTTCAAATGTCCAAAAAGGTGCGAGAGGTAGCTGAGTACATTTGACCGTGTTGACCAATCACCAGGGCTTATTTTCAGCTCGGTCACTGAGCGAGGATTGACAGGGTTGCTCGACTGAGCAAGTTTGACCAGACGCAGGCGCAAAAACACTATCTGGTAGGGGTTTTGTATGAGAATTCGGGAGAAAAGAATCCTTGAAACCACTCTCTGCAGGGAGGCTCAGTGATACATCTGCGTGCTATGTAAAAAACTTACCTCCCAACGACGACAAACTAAACGAAAAGAGAAAAGCGGGTCATAACGGTCATAACCGGTGTTGTATGCCAAAAAAAGCTTCCAGGGCGGCGAGCTCGAAGATAATGAGTAGTACCTCGTTTGGGAGACGAGAGATCGCAGCCATTGTCGTATCTCAGTGAGGATAGATTTTTCCGGTTTCCACAAAACGTCTGAGCATGTTTACCTGGCGCCACAACTGTACAAGTTTGCAACTGGCGTGCAGCCTCGGGACCGGCCAAGTGATGCTCTGCTGAGGAAAACACCGTGCCTCCGAGGTGAAAACCGCCACTCGCATAAGCTTCCTCGAAAGCTCTTTGAAAAACCTTACAGTTACTGTCAGACAACAACAGCCAGTGGTCGTCAAGGTCCTTTGTTTCTCCTTCTGTTTTTATTATCCAGCGAAAGTGCATAACTGAAGGATGGGCTTTCTTCGTCATATTCTACGCATGCGTTCTGTCAGGTTCAGTGGCCCTCCAGTCCAGACAGTCCAGTTCCACTCGCCATTGAATTCCAAGCCAGGGAGAGCGACGCAAGAAAATCTGGCAAGATCGAGTAGTGTTCGGAGAGTGTTCATTTGCTGTACCGCAAAACTACCACCCTCCTTGGTTGATTGGATTCTCCTTGGTTCGCGATGGATATTTCTGTTGACCATCTCGCGTTCCTCGGCGAGCGCTCGCCCTTCCAGTCCAAGAACTCGATGTTCTTCTGTTCCAACGCCGCGGCGAGCAACATGAACCGCCTGACGACAACAAGATCTCCATGATCGAGCAGCTTGGTCCAATCGAGCAAGGTCGAGTACGGTCCAACGTATACGTTCCTCCCCGAGAGCTTCTTGAGCGCCCGTGGAGCCCTGGCACGGAGGATGTCCAGGAAATTCCATTGTTTTGCGTAGCTTGCCATCTCTGTCGTGCGGATGGTGTGTCTGCCTCTGCAGTAAAACAGCGGTAGGCAGAGCTCCTCCAGCGCTGCAGGAATCTGGCTACAAAACCCCGGATCGGGCACCCAGCGCAGAGTGAGCTTCTTCAGGCTTGAAAAGGTGTGAAGGGCCTCGAAAGACCATGCACAGATGGGCTCGGGGCGTGTCTCCATATCGAGTATCTCTAGAGCGGCGCGGTGTCGGCTGAAGAATGCTTGCAGGACCGGGTGGCTCGTCACGTCGGTATCGGAGAGAGAAAGAAAGTGTAAAGAGGGAAAGGTTAGGGCTGAGAAGAATGCCAAGGCCGAGCAGTGCCATTCAATGAACATGATCTTGAGGTACGTCACTTGGGGCAGAAGCACCCCCAGATCTGTAAATTCGATTCTGACGTCGCGTCCTCTGCCGTAGAAGGTAACCGAAAGCGATTTGAGCCGTGCAAGAGTGGAGAAGCTGGAGATCGTCGGTCGATCCAGGGAGTCAGACGCCAGAACCAGCTCGAGGGACTCGAGCGTCTTTCCACAAGCTTGGTTAAGCGCGGTCAGGTCACGGGAGGAGAACGCCTCGAGCGCTTTGAAGACTTTTAACCTTGGCAGAAGGGAGAAGAGGGAGTGCAAGCAGTTATCCGCGTATGCTGAAGGGCTGAGTCTATCCCGTAGGCAGAGCATGAGTCTCCTCGTCCCCGCTAGGCAAGTCGCTTCTTCTCCAGCTGCTGGGGCTGCGAGCCGTCTCCGGACATGTGCGAGGAAGAGCGCGACATGATCCGTATCTGCCAACCTCAAGTTCGCGTACACAAGTGAGTACACGAGATACTACACCGGGAATGTATTAGGATCTGTTCCTTCTGCAGTGCAAGAGGACGTGCCCGCCAGCGCTGGCACACCAGTGCGAGCGGAAGGAGTGGGTAGAGCACAGCTGACCGTGCGTGGAATTCGGACAGGTCGAGCAGCTGCAGAATGAGCAGCAGCACGTCGTCTGGTAGGTTTGGTATGGGCATAGTGAGGGTATGGGTATGTGGACGTTGAGAGCATGGGGCGACTGGGGCGACGCGTGCTCGACAGCGTTCGGCTTTGCCTCTTTGTTGGAAGAAGGGCAGTGCTGATTGCAGCTTCTCGAGCGTATTTCTGGAATTAGACACGATGGGGTGATCCTTCATGGGCGTCATTATTGTATTTTAGATATTCAAATAATGAACTTTCTATTTTTCATTGTTCACTGAACAATGCATTATAAGAAATGTACTTCGGAACAGCCCGTTAAGGAATGGCCAGAATCCGGAGATAGTTGTCTTCTCTGCGGCTCTCCCATCTTCCAGTTGCGCGCAATGTCAGTGGAGGTAAGGCTCACCAGCGTCTGCCTGAGCATTATCAACCAGATCGAACAGTATCCAACGCCACCAATTGACAACAGGACACCTAGCCAAAGCCCAAGGCATACGGACAACATCATTGGATTTTGCAAATGACCCTTCAACCAGATTCTTAATTCAGTACAGCCTACGCATATCCCTTCAACCCTCGTTCACCAGTCCCGTCAACCCTTTACGCCCTGGCATGGAGCGTTATGTGATGTATCGTACAGTGTTCAAGGCATAGCCTGAACCTGGGCCGCGCCGGGCACTTCGGGAATGCCGGTCCAGCGGTCCTTGACGAACACTGCAGCCAATGTCAGCGATGAAATGCAGGTGAGGTGGGATGAGACGTACGCTCAGTCCCGAAGGGAACCTTGGCAAAATCACGGAAGTTGCCAGTCTGGATGGCCTGAGACTCGCCGAAGGCGACGGACTTGTGGGAGATGGCGCTGCCGCAGTTCGAGCAGAAGATGCGAGTCACTGGAAGGAGCAGGCGTCAGCAGCTACTCAAGGATGCAGCAGTGGAGGAAGAAGGGGAGGATGATGGAGGCGCATATATTTGGGTATCAAGATGGAAACGCACCGGTGTTGCCAGAAGGCGCCTTGATGTTGTACTCCTTGACGGGGCCGGTGATAGTAACATCCTTCTGGGGGCAGAGCACATTGGTGGAGAACGCTGTCGCCTCATATCAGCACCTCCCCGAGTGCGGACGGCGAGTAACGCACCAGAACCGGACGTCTGCTTGCAGTCCCAGCAATGGCAGACGATCTGCGAGTCGAAGTCCTGTCCCAGGGTGATGGTCGTCTCGCCACAGAGGCACTGTCCAGAGAGCACCATATTTGCTGATCGTTAACAGTAGTAGATTAGAGGTAGTGAAGGGGTGGTCTGGGAAAGACGAGGGGCCAGTCGGGTGAAGGGAAGTGTGAATATATATGTGCCCTGTGTGGTGGTAACGCTGGAGGGCGTGGGTCTCAGAACATGGCCATGAGGGGAAAGGATATCCGGCACACCCAATCATCGCATGATCCCATTCTCCCCCTCACAACCTCAGGCACTCAGACCCAGCCACAAAAGGCAATCAGTGCGTCACCCGCTCCTCGCATCTTCCTTCCAGTGTATCATTCCCGTCCTCGGCGTCCTCGCTAGCCCTTCATGGCCAGTGCAGACGGCAGACGCCCCGGCACAAGTAACGCCAAAGTACACCTGACACGGATAGTCTTCCATTGAACTCGGTGCGAGACCATCCTATCCACCTCCTCCTGGAGTATAGTGTCCGATGACGGGGCTAGCCAAACTCTATTGGTTCTCTCGGGCGAGCTTACAGGTGGTGGCGATGCAGAACCCTTGCGAAGCCTCGTGAGCTCACGGGAAAGAATTGCGAGACATGAACGGATAAGGCGCTGGATGGGCGCTTGATGGTTCGGAAGTTGGCACTAATGCATTGTTGGGGGAGAAAATATGGATGGATGGCATCAGGGGATGAATTGCGGTGCTGGCTATCGGTGTTGGTATGGAAACATGCGTGAAGATTACATTTTTTCTATTGATCGTGAGACAGGAAGTGGGGCGTTACCAGCTCAACGATGCCGCACGGCTCAGTAGGAGAACCCCTTGAGCACACCACGAACCTTCTTCCCCTCCTCAAACGCATAGACACTCACACCTCCCGTCTTCCCCTCCCTCCATGCGCGCACCAGCCTCCCACCCTCGACATTCTTCACCTTATCACCCTGCGTGCCCACAGTAATATGCAGCATCTTCACTCTGTCTCCGTCCCATCCCGGTCCACTGGGCCACTCTGCGGATCCGCCTTGTGTTTGCACACGTACAGAGTCCGGGTCAACGACGAGCGCCATGACCTTCCCGTCTGTCAACACATGGGAGATGACAAACTCGTACCTCGGCGGAGTAGGCGACGATGCCACCTGGGCACACGCGTCCCAGAACGTCGCTTTCTCAGGGATTGTATCGTCGTTCGCATGAACAAGGGTAACATGTGGGCGCTTGTTCACCCTCCCTGTGCTCGTGAGATGCTCCCAGAACTTGGTGAGCCCAGGGTCGACGCTTTTCGCGGTGAGCAATGCTCCGAGCAATGCGGGCAGGTCCAGCTCCGCAAGGATCGCATAATATTGGACTTTCTTCTTCTTCCCCGCTTCGGCGTCTTCCTTCGTCCGTGCACCAGCTTTATAATCCCGGGCAACCTCAATCGCCGCCTTTAGTTTTTCATCGGTCGGCATCTCCCAGCCCATTATAGGCGCGAGTAACTCCACCGCTCGCCGAATGTTCCCCTCCAATTCGTCTCTCGGGTCCATCATAACCGCCTCATCCACCTCGTCCTCATCAAGCGGCTCTGCAGAACTGATAAACTTCCACAGCACGTCCTCGTGGAAGCTCAAATCGTCTTTCTTAGCGCGCAGGGACTGGTGGTTCTCGCCCCGGGCCAGGAGACGCGCGGACATCAGCCGGTGAAGTGTCGATACTGGGACGGCGGGGTTCCCCCAGTTTAAGGCGACAAGGCGTGCGGGACCGCCGGGGCACTTTTCCGCCACCTCACGCAGCTGTTGACGATGTTGCTCCAGGTGATTGTTCCTGACGAGATAGTCAGTTCGTATCTGGACGATACCAGGGGATCACACACCGATCTGCAAAAACTACATCGTTCGTCTCCAACAGCGCTGTGATATTCTTGAGGAACTGAGGACCAGTGGCCTTCTTCGTCTTGACATCGTCGCTCTGTGTATGCCCGATCCCGAACAGCTCTTTCAGCGCGATAGCGACACTCGTCTTGCCACAACCCGGGATAGCGACAGGCACAATAATCGTTTTCTTCCAGTGTTTCGGCTCCTCTGCTGCCTTTTTCTGTTCCTCGAGATGTCGCTCCGGCTCTGTCGCTGCCTGGCCGACAGTCCTGTCCACCTCCCGTTCCCAGATCTCTTTCCCTTCACCGGGCGTCGCCGCCCACTCCAGGAATTTCTCACGCGTCTCGATGATTCCCCGATTGAAGCGGTAGTTGCGGAACAGGCCAGGGTGCGATAACATCTCCTTCAGCACCCACTTGAGGTAGACTCTCGTCTCCGGGCGGCGCTTGAAACGGTCGCCAATTTTCACAGGCTTAGCCGCAGCCTTTCCTCGTGCATGGCGGGAATTCTGGGTCTCCGGTACTCCCTCCACAGGAGCACCGTCGATTACTGGCAGCAGGACCTTCGTAAGTTCGCGCCATTCGCGGTACATCAGGTATGGCTCTTCGAATTTAACCTTAAAGAAGAATGGTGCTCCGGGGGGATATGGCGGAGTTTTGGTTGCTTTGCCCTTCTTGTCTTGTTTGACAGGCGCATCGCCAGGATCGGCAATCACGAGGTTAGCAACCGCATCTGCCAATTCATCGACTGCATCTGTCTTGCCCACGTTCGGATCGTGCACGTGGCACCGGACCACCCAGCCCTCAACACCGATTCCCTCCCATTCGCCTTTCTTCGCTCCTTCCCTACAGAAGTCCATCACCTCCTTGATCGAGTTGACCGTGACGATCTGGGTTGGTCGGAAACCCCACTGGCGCGCAAAGTCAGCGACCTCATGGGCGGGCAAGCTCTGGAAAGACGGGCTATTGGGGACGAGACCATGCAGAACCAGTCCAATGAGATCGGTCGGGATCGGCAGAACATGTTCCTCGAATGAGTCATCGCAGAGTTCGGCTACAGCAGAGATGTTCCTCTCCCACAGCACCTTCGCCAAGTCTGCTTCTGTCTTCCCTACACGCTTCAAGTGCGCATATAGCCACTCCTCGCCTCTCTCTGCGTGAGATATTCCCAAAGATCCATTCGCAGGTGTCTCCATTAGTTCTTCTTCATCGTCCTTCGCTTCTGCTTCGTTGCCATCCTCTGCGACAGATCCCTTGGCTTTTCGGGTACCGAGAGAGTGCTTTGAAGTAACGAGAAGACGAGAAGGGGTAAGGGCGGCAACGAGAATAAGGCAACCGTTCGACTTAAGCGTAAGTTCATACGGCCCTTCGGTGTTCGCAGCAAGAGAACCCCACTGTGGTGTTGGGTGTGAACGAGGATATATGCACACTTGATAGAAATACGCACCTCTGTCCATCCCACTTCGCCCACATTAAAGAACTTATCATATCCGCGAGCAACGATCCTCCATGTCCCTCCCACCTCATCCTTGACTCTCTCCCTGTATTGACCCTTCTTCTCACCCTTAATGTTCGGCTCTGGCACACCACTCTCGCTGGTCCACGTCGTAAACAGCCCTCTTGCTAAGCTTGGAAAGGGACACGGAGACTGTCGATAGAGATGTTCCAGCATCTTCCAGCTCGTGATGAACTCCGGTGCGGGGGGATCGTTCGCGGGGGCAGGCGGTGCGCCCGGGCGAGGAGGGTGCACTTTCTGCTGCGTCGCTTTTACAAGCTTTGGCTCGTCGATCGCCATACCACGTAACTCAGATATGAGCTCTTTGGTGGGATCTCGCGCCTGGAGTACATGCTCAACAGCCGGGGAGAGATGGGGTGTTGGAAGCGGTTCAGTTGTCATTTTGGTTGTACTGCTCGGGGTATGACTTTGCCTGCAAAATTGTGATGGGTTGAATGGAGAACAGGTATAGATGGGCCTGGTAGATACAACCAACCAGTGAGATATTTTGAGCTTTAATAATTGCGCCACGGTTACTGGAGAATACGAGTCAGAGTGAGCAGTCGGCGAGTCACCGACTCTTGCATCAAGGAAAGAAGAAATCCATCGATGGATTACGTAAGCCACATCACACGCTGTTCGGACGCGACTTCCATCACCTCCAACACAAACTGCATACTAAGCAAATCACATTCCATAGCTGCTATGACGATTCACATACTCTCGGACGATCTCTTATACATCATATTTCAAACTTTTGATTGGTTGACAAGCTCAGCTACGTCCATCTCGGGTTTCTCACACCGGAAGGTTTTCGCGGCTTGGCTCAACACCTGAGGAACAGCACTGATGCTGTGGACATGGGCAGGCGAATAACGAAGCCATTATGGAGCTCGATATACTTCTAGACCTGGGGCCGAGAGGGGAAATTACCGGATGATATCCCAAATCTTGTTGAGGTCCTTGTCTCGACGAAAGCTTTAGAAGTACTGTAGCTCGGGTTCCGCACGGCTGCAGAAGGCTTGGCTGTCATCCTTGACCACTTTTGGCCAACGCTTGTACATATGGACATCTACGCGACACTCAGCACATTGAACGAGCGCAATGCTTCGATGCTGCCATGTCTTGTCCAGCTACGGCACGTGACGATCACCTTCGGGGGAGGTTCCTGCGACCGACACCCGCCAATCCTTCTTCCCCGACTGAACTCACTCAATCAATGTCGACGTTTCGTTGGAATCCGACGTCTTTCTTCGTGGTCTGCAAGGCCCTGCATTGGTCTCGGTGGCTTTGAAATACCCGTTTCCGTGCTACGATTTGGGTCCCATTCACATGGTCAAGGACTTTCTCGGCCGACAGGCAGCCACAGTCCGCAGATTCATGCTGTCATCGGGGCTCGGCTTGGATTTACCTACACTCATCTCACCGCTTTATGGCTTGCGTCACCTGCACTTCATACATATTATGGCCACTCCATCAATCCCGTATCACTTGCCCGCGACTCTCGTCGACATCCACGTTCATCTCCAAATGATATGCATGACCTTTGGAACGCCTCAGCATCCGGATAGGAGTTCTGTCGTTCCATTCTCAGATCCAATCTTCCGAGCCTTCAAGTGCAGGTTCTTACAGACAGCGAATGCTTAGACCGGAGATTTCTAGAGGCAAACAAGACTCTGCCAGATGCAGTCAGATGGTTCGCTATGGCGCGTGCAATGAAACGCAGAGACATCGAAATTATCGATCAAGAGGGTCAAATTTACTCGGGCATCACGAGAGAAGGGGACGAGGAAAGAACATTATCCCGCCCTCCGATCTGATGGGACGAGGCTCAACTGGCAAGAAGCCAACCCCGACTTTAGCTCACCATACCCTGCATCCTATTCCCCTCCACAATTCTCGTCCGGCATCAACAAGCCCTCATAAACTCTTCACCACTGCCGATCCCCAAATCCCATCTCTTCCTAGTCTTGTCCTCGCCATACTGCCAGCACCAGCCAGCAGCAACCCAGCCCACACAAGAGATCCCTCCAGGGTCTGACAATATCAACAAAGGACAATAGATGACGTAATCTCTCTAATACCCTTCTCCTCACACAATCCCTAACATTCCGCTTCCAACGTATAACGTCCCACTCCACAGGCGGAAATCTCAGCTCTCGCCAGCTGGCAAGTCGAGAGTCTAGACCCAGACTTCTCACATCCTTGCCGGTGCTGAACGTGCGCCTCGGGCTCGGGCAAAGAGGCTTGCCCACGTCCAGACTTGACAGCGAAGCAACCCCTGCCAGCACGGCAGGGTAGCTACCCTGTGGGTAGAGAGCTGCACGTTCCTCCTGTACACCTATTCTGCCTCCTGCCGTACCTTCCACCTTCGTCTAGCTCTTCTCTTCCCTACTTCTTTCCCTTCTCCTGATAGGCCCACCGGGGCCCTGTGCCGCCGATCCCAGCCTTCCCTTCCCATCCTTCCATTCCAGCACGCCGAAATCAGTGGTATTCCATTCCATCAATCCTATCATCATATCACATCACACACGAGGACAGCTTCATTTACATACATCTGATTTCATTTCCCAGGTATCAATCCGGCCCGGGGGGCCGCTTCCCCCAGCCCCACCCTCCTACGAACACGTACGTACATGGTTAACAAGCTACTTTCCCCTTTCGTAGACCTACACTCATATTTGGCGTACGCTCCCTACGTGTATGGGGTGACGTACGCCAGCGTCCTACTCTTGCACACAGCGACACAAACACAGCTAAGGAGAAAAACAAGGAAAGAGCACAGAGAAGCAGAGAAGCAGAGAATGAGGAAAGGATCCGAGTGACAGGTATATAGGATGGATAGGAATAAAAAGGAAAGTGGAAGGTGGCATCGCCCTGGTCGTACAGATATCCAAGAGTTTTTCGACCGCGGAGAAATAGAGGAACAGCAGATGGCTGCTGGGTCGTACAACTGCCCTTGGGGCGGGAAGCCGTTCCCGTCCTGCGAGATGGCAGGAAAGGAAGGGGAGGAGGCGTAAAGTGTCCGGTTCTTGATGATTGGTGTACACGGTTCGGAGCGGAAGGGAAAGGTGGATGTGGGGATGGAGGCGAGCTGCAGGTTTGGGAAGACGGGACGGGACGTAGGATGGTCGGAGGTCGTCCGTGGACAACCAGGGCAGAAGCTACCAGTCGAGTTCAGTCGAGGTGGGGGGTTTCGCGTGCGTAGAGGTAGTAATACAGTGGTTTCCAGGCATTCAATTTCAGTTGGAATTTCAGTTGGGTTCAATTCGGTTCAGTTCGGGTCATTTCTTCGGTTCGGAGAACAGGTGCAGGTGGTCGGATGCGAGGGTATTGATGTGTGTATGCGCTCTGGGTGGTCCTCTGCGCATATATCGGTCTCTATGCCTGATGGTGATAGCGGAGAGAGGCACTCACTCAGAGCTCCATCTCTAAGCCGCCAACGCCCGTCCAGGGCCTGACAACTTCGATCTCGTCCTCGGTCTCTTCGTCGTCGTCTTCCATGCTCATACGGTCATCCCCGTCGCCGCCAACGACGTCCAGGTCTTCGCTCGCGTCATCCATGTCGATCTCTCCCAGGACGGACTCGCCGTCGTACGCGGAGACGCTCTTTCGACCGTTGGAGGGAACAGACCACTTGCTGGCATGCGCGGGACGGCCCATTCCAGATTGGGGAGCGCTACCAACAGGAGTAGTGACTTCTGCGAGGTACTTGGGCCACAGAGACCTATCCTCCGGCAAGCTCTGGCTCGGTGCAGACAGGTGGCTGAGGATGGTGGCAGCCTCAAGCAGCTGTACCTGTTGATGCTTGCTGAGGAGGAACTTGGAGCTCTGGAGCCACTGAGGCGAGTGCTCCCAGCGGTGCTTGTCCATGCACGAGCGATGCCTGTAGACTTTCTGGCAGTCGTCGCAGATGTACAGCTTCTTACCTGCAGAGTCCTTGGGCATCAGCTCGGCACCGTCGTCGCTATTCGACTTGCTAGATTCGCGCTTGGTCGTCGATCCACCACGAGCAGAGAGGTAGCTCGTCGCTGGTACACTCTGAGAGGTGAGTGTGGGTCCGAGAGGGGGAGAATCAGCGGTCATGCTAGAGTCGCAGGGATGTGTCAGCACAGACCAGTCACGCTGTGGATAACTCACAAAGCGCGTGTCATACTGAGCGCATCCCTCGCATCGCTGAGCCTGCGCTTGTGACCCGACGAGCTGCTCTGCCTTCTGTGCTTCCTGTGCTCCTTTCCCGCTGCCGCTGCTAGTCCGCCAGGGGCGGGATTGGCGGTGGCGTAGCCTGCGAGGCTGGGTGCGTAGGGAGATGTACCTTGTACGGAGGCGGAGAAGGAGAGGGAGGGAGTGGAGGAGTAGGATGCCTCTGAGGGAGGGGTGTAGGAGGAACGGGGAGGGTAGGCATGAGATGCGGACTGAGAGTGCATGGGGATGGGAGAAGCTGGTCCGGGAGCAGCGGAAACGAGGGGGGAGGGGGAGAGGGTGGATGCGAGTGCGCTCAGGTCATGTAAGGCGCTGAAGGGGGATGTCATGGTGCTGGATGGGTTCAGCGTTGGGGTGGATGAGGAGGGACAGGTAGATAGGATGAGAGCGTAATTGGGGGAACTGACGGATACGCAGTCAGTGTATGCGCTGCAGGAGGGAGTGATCGTCTGTGTTCGTTCGTGATCGTAGATAAGAGAGATTACAGTGAGGGGTGTCGAGGTGGTCGTCGTTGATGAGGACGTTGTCGACGGTGGTGGTGGTGAGGAAGAGAGGGTGAGGGAGGGGCAAGGGGGAGTGAGGAAGGTGTCCAATAATTCCCAGAACCGAAATTTCGAAATTCGCGGGAGTTGACCCAAGGGGGGAATGTGTACCAAAATGGGAGGGGGAGAGAGTGGGTCACCAGATGAACACCCAGACCCATTTCTCTCTCTCTAATTAGACTATGGATTTGTCCCTATTATTCCGCCATCGTGCGTCTTTGATCACCTGCACAGTATCACTTGCCTCCGACATTGTTCACCTCCGCCGAGGAGGAACATCACTGCGAATCCTCACACAATATTATCACATCAAACCGCACAGGACACTTCCATCCATCCGGCTTATCACTTCCCCCGTTTCCCCCTAGCTTTCACCTTTCACATACTCAACGCTTATTGGCCAACAATCACCCTATCACCACACATATTCCCTTCCACGTTATCCACCAACTCCGGAAACTCGCTTCCAACCCTTCTTCCGACCATGCCGCTCCAGAGCCCTGATAACATCCGTCCCATGCGTCTCTATTTACCCCTGGGAAGCATGGGGAGCACCCTGACCCCTCCCCTATCACCGACCAAATTCCAACCCGTCCAAGAAAAAAAAAGTTGACAATAGTTTATAGACGGACTGTAGGCGCAGAACCCTGATCACTGTAATCAATCTCCAGGTGGATACCCTGATCCTTCCCTCGAACAACGAGGCATTCCAAGCCATCCAACCAAGAACGTTCGCTCGCTTGCAGCATCGCAGTGCCCTGCTAAACGCAGGAGCGCGCCCGCTTCCCTATTTGCTGCTCGCCCCCTACCCGCAGTCGTAACCCGGCCCAGCCACCGGTCCACCCCCACAAACCTCGGGCAGGCTGCGTATCGCCATCGGCATCCCGTCCCCGAGCCGGGCACCAGTGTCAACAATATTAATGTTCACGCAAGCCGGTTATCGAACCCTGTCATGTACTTCATTACGTAGCGATATTAAACACATTCCTTCTTCAACGCAATATGTTGATAGCAGCTGGAGTTCCAGATCCACGCTCGAGTACACGTCTCAGGCACCTCCGGTATGCAAGCTCCAGAAATACAGGAACACCATACAGTCCCAAACTGCGAGATGGGTGTTTACGTTGTCACAGGTCACGCGGCCGCAGGAAGGACAAACAGAGGCGAGGAGGATGACGTACCCTGGGAAAAGCGCACGTGAGCCACCGTGCCAGGGAGCACGTGTGTCGGATTTCGGCCCTTCGGAGGGTCGGCCGGCGGTGATGGGCGATACACAGGCTGAGAAATCTTTGGCCTTTGCGTCAGCGGCGTTGAACGTTGTTGTGACCTGGGCGTTTAAATATTAATGTTGGGCTTTGATGTCTCCCGGCCGCCGGGTCTCATGTACAGCTTGGATCTCGTGCACGATGAGCAGCTGCGGGCTGCGTGCTTCGTCAGTCTGGTCGGTCGGCCCGACCGGGGCGGTACACAGCCTCAACTTGCGATGCGATGGTTGTCAAGTGCTGAGCTGGCATCAATCCACAAGGAGGTTGACGATGAGTTGTGACGGGTGCGGGCGGCGATGGGCGGCGGGGTGTTGTTCGCTTCGTTCAGGTGTTGCAGTCCTGGCTTGTCCCGCTGCTTGTTCTTGCCTTTGTGCCGCTTCCTTTGTCCTGAATGGGAGCGCGATTCGAGTGTCTTGTTCTCAATCTCGAGCACCACGTACGGAGGCTACCTTGACTTCTCGCGCTTATGTCAAAGCAGGAGACGTTAGAGATCAAGGGTGGTTGGTGAGGAAGTAGATCACGTGGGATGAGGGGCGTATGGAGATCGGTTTGATATGCCTTTCGTTGGAGATTTAGCAATATGTTCTACAATTCCTGAGAGGCGTACCACTGTATACATGTATATCGGGGTAAGGGTTGGAGAGTAACTTTAACCCAGGCGACGTCACTTGTCGTCCGGGGAGCTTCTATGAACCTTCCACATCTGCGTCTCTCGTGACATCAGAGTATGCCTCACCACTGGTGTCGAGGAGCTCGATCCGTATCTGTGTCTCTCGTGGCATCAGAGTATGTCTCACCACTGGAGTCGAGGAGCTCGATGCCCTTGAGTCTGAATGCGCGGGCGATCTCAAACAGCTTCCTGGTCGTTGGCTCTTGTTTATCTGGATTGTCCTCTAACTTTTTCCAGAGCAGGACATTCCAGCCCGACCAACCATGGATAGTCTTGAGGGATGGAAGGGAGGCTCTGAGAAGCTCCTCGAAAAAGGCATTTTGTTCCTCGGCGAAGGTATCCTCGGGTGGGTGGATATCCAAGCGGAGCTCAGCTAAGGTTGGCGGTAGAACTTGCAGGATCGATCGGTCGGGTGCCGTGCTTATCCAGGGTAGCGACAGCAAACGAAGGCTCTTCAGCAGTGAGATGAAGGACGGTTGTAAAGTGGACGACGGCGTGATCGTGAATTCTTGGATAGTGGCACTGTGCCTGTTCAGGAAGCCGTGCACTACACCAACCGGGATCTCGACCCTGTCCCGAAGATAAAATCTCAAGGTAACCGAGAGCAACAAGGGAATTCGCAAGGCGCCAAGAACATGGGCACATGTGTGCCATCCACCGAAGAATCCTATGTTCAGTATCTTCACTTGCGGAAGGAAGACGGGCGGAATCGGCTCTGCATTGCTGTCGTTTCCATCATCCCAGTTAAAGGTGATCTTCAGTTCCCGTAACCGGGAAAGACATCGGAGCATCGAGATGTTGCGCGACGTGAACCTCTCAAACCCAGTCTCGATCTCCAGGTGAACGAGTGTCGACGAAGAACTTTCCAGGAGCGCGGCCACGCAGGCTGGAGGCATCGGAAAACGAAGTTCGGCCACTTCCAGAGCATTTGCTAACATGAAGACCTCGATAAGGGCCGGCGTATCGACTGGGAACTGGAAGCCAAATTCCGTTTCCTCGACGTCTACCGGGCTCCACAACTGCTTGGTGGTCAGCCTGACCATGGCCGCTGCATCGCTGTTGCTTTTCACGTGACGTAGCAAACGATGCATGCCTCCGCATGTGTTAAAACAGATGTCGACGTACATCAGACTGTCAACTACGAACTGACACCAATATAGCACGGACAACAATCACTATGATGCAAAAACGTACCTTCCATCTCCTGCATACATAGGGAATTGGCACGAGCGGATGTTTGTGCATCCAGGGTTTGCTGCCACTTAGGCTGACAGCTTCAAATATGAGGTATAATACGTCGTCTGGTAGCACGTCGATTGACATTGGTGTTTGGAGAGGCCAAAGTGTTTTCCCGTTGGCTCTGGACCAGTAGAGATAACGGAAGCATTCGACCACGGGAAAGAAGTCCATCCAGGCTCAGCTAGGCTGACCAGCGAGTATTAGACACTTTCGATTTGCCCGTACGGAATAGCTGGTAGATTTACAACGCGGCCAAAGGGCAGTATCCTGCCGGTTGGTGGTGTATGTCCGCATCATGTGATGTCACATGATGACGTGTCACTTGCTCCCGAAATGGGACGCGCGTCGAAATGAAGGACGCGTCGCTTGCCTTCCACCAACATGTCTACTTACAAGTCACTAATACCTTCAAAGCGAAAGTCAGATGAGAACGTCGAGTCGCTGATTTTCAAGAAACCTGTAACAGGACGTAATCCGCTCGGTGTACTTGTTGCGAACAGCGTACCATACCAGTTAGCAAATACTCCTAGTACCTCCGGTGAGGAAGAAACGTACTGGAATGTAGTATGGTATGGACAAGCAAACGTTATCCCTATCATGCCTTATATCTCACTCTTAGGCGTAAACCCCAGTTCAAGAAGAATAAAACTTGGGACGGTGATGGGGTACTGGTTGTTTGCGGTAGCAAAATGACACTTCGGGATCAGGATAATAAGATGTGAGTCGTCCCGAAGAGCATATATGCGCCTACTTGACCCTGCCCAGAATTAGCACAGGAGTCATTTCACAGAGAACAGGGGTTATTGAACCTGGAGCGTCTCTCTCGGTCGGCGGTAAAGACGTGAGTACGGAGTCGGAACGCTCGCCTGGTTCACCTGCAACAAGAGTAGATCGAAATAGATACCGCCATCCAAAAAGAGGAATACCTCTCTGGACGATGCTTCGGATCTTCTTCCACTTCATTTATTCCACTCCCACCACCTTCGAAGGGTTTCCAAGCGCCAAAGCCCCTTGCTCGCACATCCGTAGGAGGCTCTTCCAAGCCCGCAGCTCCTCTTGGTGCCAAACTGGCTATACCCACCCGAAAACCAACAATAATGGAATCAAAAAATAGCGTGAAACCGATGGATCATCCCACGGATGCTGACTACAAGGTTGTGCGGTACTACACGGTCAATTGGTAAGCGGCAGATACGTCCTCCATCAAGTACTCTGCAGCTGACAACGGGAACAGGCGTAAACCACAAACGAAGAAGCACAAGACCTGGGATGGTGATGCATACTTGGTAGTGACAGGAACTCGGGGTGTGATGCAAGAGGCGGGAGGACGAATGTACGTAGTACTCCATCGATGCACTTCTAAGCGAATTTACCTGAAGCAGTTTGGGAACTGCGACTTGGGATGCGGCTTGGCTTGAAGGAAGTCTCATGTTTATAGGGGGCAAAGAGGTGCAGTCGGCGATGTTCAAATTCGTGCCAGCTGATGAAGCCGCGACAGGTTGAAATCGACAATCTCATCACCGAGGCTGAGTTCCATCAGCAATGCAGTGGACTTCCTCCCCCAGAACCTGAGCCGGAGGGTCCCCGCCACTCTCCGTCCGTTCCGAAGCACCACTCCCCTGTTATCAAGGTAGGCGCACCCCGGGCCCGGACAAACTTCACTCCGAAAGTGGATGGACCTCTGTGAACTCAAATCTGTTCTACTGCCACCTATCCATTGAACTGAGCCATGGACAGTCACGATCCAGACCAAGCGGGAGCCTTGGTTTTGCCTCGTCCAACCCCTGCGCATCAGACCAGAGCAGGGAAGAGGTGAGATATGTCGATCTTCGGAATCTACTGTGGTACACTGAACCCATTCCACAGCGGCTATACCATCGAGGATGTTGTAGTCGATCCTGTGTTGGCAACCAAGCTTAGGCCTCATCAGAGGGAAGGTGTCATATTTATGTATGAGGCAGTCATGGGGATGAGACGACACGAGGGCTTTGGCGCTATCTTGGCAGATGAGATGTCAGTGTTCCAATGTCAGTCCCTTTCTGTGCTTATTCTACTGATGAATTGCAGGGGGTTGGGCAAAACGCTTCAGGCAAGTAGCAATAAGGTGAAAAGGCCCGTTGAATTTGATGGACTGCTCAGACAATCGCACTTCTGTGGACGCTTCTCAGTACGCAGAAATATTATTTACGTAAGACACTTAACTCACGTCTTGAAGGACAAACTCCGTATCGTCCACGAGAGCCTATTTACCACCACAAGGGCGAGATCGGAAAGGCTATGATCGTTTGCCCGGTTTCTCTCGTCGGTGTAAGTGCTTGAGATGTATCAAAGTCCGTTGGCTGAGGCCCCACCTCTAGAATTGGCGGAGCGAGATTTGGAAATGGTCTGTTTGACGATGTGGTGCTACGACGTTTCTTACAATCCACACCCGTAGGCTTGGACGCGATCGAATGGGCGTTTTTGTGGCAGAGGAAACCAATAAGATCAAGCAATTCCTCAACTCGTAGGGAATCTCCTCCGCTTGTGAGCTAGTATCGATCCAATCTGCAGACGTGGACACGATGTTCTCATTATCGGTTATGAAAAATTGAGGAGTGTTATGTGGGTGCACAGTTGATCTCTCAGCCCACAGGTGAACTGAAATCGATCCAATAGTGATATGCTAGTATATTCCGAGTATGTTTGCGGGAACAGGCTACAGGTTCACGTCTAATCCCCAACTAGCCCAATGATTGACTTGATCATCTGCGATGAAGGTCAGTGCAGGAAGCGTGTGCACAACCTTTTCTAACCGGATATATGCGCCAGGCCATCGGTTAAAGTCGAGCAATAACAAGACCTCGCAGATGTTCACTGCACTGAAAACGAAACGTCGCATCATACTTTCCGGAACACCAATCCAAAACGATCTGTCTGAATTTTGGTCTATGGTATGTACTGCGGGGAAGGAAGTGACAGAATTGCGCTGACGCAAACTAGGCTGAGTTTTGCAACCCCGGCCTTTTAGGTGAGGACGACCTCGTTTCACACAGATCTCGCTCATCATGAAAAGGCCAGTACAACGACTTCAAGCGGATTTACGAACAACCTATTGTCCGTGCACGAGCGCCGAACTGCACAGAGAAGAACAAGGAGATCGGCGAAGCTCGCTCCAGTCAGCTGTCGTCAACGGCAAAGTCTTTCGTGCTCCGTAGAACTGCCGATATCCTAACGTCGTACCTACCTCCTAAATGTACGCAAAATCTCCCTTTCCTGCTTCAGCATCCTCATTTGCACTAGACGAATATGTGGCTTTCATTCGGCCGACAAAAGTCCAAATAGATTTGATGCAGCGCGTGCTTACATCCCAAGCAATTGGCCGAGCCCTGCGGAACGGAATGGCTCAGGCGTTGGAAATGATGAGCATTCTGGGCAAGATCTGCACCAGTCCAGTCTTGCTGAAGACAACTGCGAAGCCTCCAAGTCAGTGGGCGCCCGAGTACCAGGAGATAGTGTCTCGCTTGCCTCGGCACATGGAAGAGAGCGACAGCTCTTTCAGTGGTAAGCCCCTTTGTGAGAAGGAGTCTTAATTGACCGAGCACCGGTTAGGAAAGCTCATCGCGTTGATGAACCTGCTTGATGCTGTCCGCAAGGTGGGGTGATATTTATCGCAAAATAATGCATATTGAACCTCCCCCGTAGATAACAGAGGAGAAGGTGATTGTCGTGTCGCAGTTCACCAAAACGCTTGATGTAGTGGAAGCTATATGCACGAAGATGCGATGGACTCGAGAACGTTTGGATGGGTAAGAGAAATTGCTCCTACATGCTTCGATCGATCAAACTCGCCTCTAGAACTACGCCCCAAAACGAACGTGATTCACGCGTGCAGACGTTTAACCGCACCAATCAAGCGGAATGCTGTGAATGAGGGCTCCCAACTGTTTGCATTCACCGCTGATATTCTTGCAGTTATTTTCTTGCTGAGCTTGAAGGCGGGAGGTGTGGGCCTGAACCTCGTCGGAGCCTCTCGCTTGATTTTGCTGGACAGCTCTTGGAATCCCGCGTGAGTATGGGTTTCCTTCCAAACAGCAACTCGGCAAACCTGTGCGTAGTCACGACTTGCAAGCTATGGCCCGTATCCATCGCGATGGACAGAAGAGGCCCGTCCACATATATCGCTTTTTGACTGTTGGCACAATCGATGAGAAGGTCTACATGAGACAGGTGATCAAGACTGGTCTGAGTAACGGCAAGTGATCCCATAGCGCTGTTAATTGATCTTTCGCTCATATTCTTGCAGCATTGATGGCAGGTGTAAGAGATGCACCACTTGCGTGAAGACTTGTCTGACGTTGATCTAGGATGGTGATGGCAAAGCGAAGGGGGATTCATTCACACATGATGAGGTACGCGATAGACCAGTGTTGTGCTCGAATTTGTCACGAATTGCTTCAGTTACGCGACCTTTTCCGTATCCATACCCACACACCATGCCACACGCATGATCTCTTGGACTGCGACTGTGCGGCCTCAAGGCTCGTCAATGACGAGGGGGATACTTCGGATGGGGAAGAGAAGGAAGAGAAGGACGACGAACAAGGTGTCCTGGACGAAGATACCGTGTCTGAAGCACCCCACCGCGGGTTCATGCTCGCGTCCCAAGTGGAGATTGCGGACATTACTGCCAGAGCGAAGAAGATGAAGAAAGACCTTGCCATCCTAGACGAGTGGACGCACGTGAACTGTATGGGGCCAGCTGGACGGCTGAGCATCAAGGATCCAGTGCTGCGTGACGTCATTCGCGGTGTGTACGACAAGCAAACCCCTGCCGAGACTGGGGAAGGCGAATCTTCCCGTGGGAGCAAGATCCTAACGGAGATCGACATGGACAAGATCCAAGCTTCTAGTGACTCTGATGATGGGGGTCAGAATCGACTGACTAACATGGATGGTGTGCCTGAAGGAGCGGTGACGTTCCTATTCACGAAATGCAGCATGTAGAATAAGAAAGCAAGGACATTCACCCTAAAGACTGTCGTAATGATTGTATTGTACGAGCAGTGAAGACTGTACTGATACAAAGCTGACCTCGATCGATGTGTGGGGTTTAATAGCGGGATCAATCGGCGGAGTATAACCCTGACCTTCTGATTGGTTCGGGTGCAACCGGGCTTACCTTTCCCTGACCCCGCCATTGTCGTCTCCGACGACCCCGCCCAACCTTTATCCGTCTTTGGAGGTTCTTCCCCCTTCACCATCGCTGTCCCTCTCCTCGCTCCCTCCCTCCTCGTCGCCGACATCCGTCGCACAGTCGGCCAACTCACCACACCCGACTCAGCAGCATGTCCCTCGCACGTATCGCACGCCCAGTTATTGTCAGGCCTCTCCTCGCAAGGGGCATCACCAGTTCACAGAGGGTCGCTCAGGCCGTGGCTGCTGCTGAGCAGCCGGTGAGCGCGAAGAAGCCCCACATGAAGGAGTTCAAAATCTACCGTTGGGTACGTGCAATTCCCTTGCATTCATCCTTGCCTCATCTGGGTGGAGGCGCTGCCAGTCCCAAACTAACACTCATCCAGGATCCCGACACACCCGCCCAAAAGCCCACTCTGCAGTCCTACACGATCGACCTCTCTCAATCCGGACCTATGATCCTCGACGCCCTGATCAAGATCAAGAACGAGATGGATCCTACCCTAACTTTCCGTCGAAGCTGTCGTGAAGGCATCTGCGGGAGCTGCGCGATGAACATTGACGGTGTGAATACGCTTGCTTGTTTGTGCAGGATCGATAGGGACCAGAGCAAGACTACCAAGATCTACCCCCTGCCACATCGTGCGTTTCCCCTTGTCCCTCTCCACGTCTGTATCTGATCCAGTATCACCGCATATAGTGTACATCGTCAAAGATCTCGTACCCGACCTGACCCAGTTCTACCAGCAGTACAAGTCCGTCGAGCCCTGGTTGAAGAACGACAACCCCCCTGACGGGACAGAGCATCTCCAATCGATAGAGGACAGGCGCAAGCTCGACGGGTTGTACGAGTGTATCCTTTGTGCATGCTGCTCGACCAGTTGCCCGAGCTACTGGTGGAACCAGGATGAGTACTTGGGCCCTGCTGCGCTTCTCGCGACCTACAGGTGGCTGGTAGATTCTCGTGTATGTTCTTCTACGCCTGATGATGAGTTATATCTTGACTGGTCTGGGTAGGACACGGCCAAGGCAGAGCGGAAGGAGAAATTGCAGAACGAGATGTCCCTCTATCGCTGCCATACGATCTTCAACTGCTCGCGCACCTGCCCTAAGGGACTCAACCCAGCCGACGCCATCGCCCGCATCAAGCTCCAGCTCGCGGCTGACTGACCGCGCTGGCGTGGGAGGAGAGTTGGGGAGAACACGCGAGATGCAAAACTACTTAGGGCATCGCTTGTGTTGTATTATGCTTCGAGGATATCAAATAGGCTACAATATATGCCGCCAGTTATCCAACACTTGATCTTCCTGTCTCCGCCACACTGTCACCATCACTCTCGCCGTCGTCTCCTCCGCTGATCTTGTGGGGCAGGATCGCATACCAGATGTGCGACTTTCTTAAGCGCGACCATGTTATTCTCCTAGCCTTGCGAAGCTTGTTCATTTATGGCTTGTCACCTTTCTCTCCCTGAACTGATGTAGGCTCAACACCACCAGAGGTCTTCTGGTTTGTCTCTTCAATTTCCCGCTGGTCGTCTTTTCGTGGTTCTTGGGATGAGATGTTATCGAGGTTGGTGGGAATCGGTACAGGTTCTGTCCGCTCTGCTTCATCACCCTGCGCCTGTAGCTCAGCGACCACTTCCTCGCGTGCCTCTATGCTCTCGGCCACCAGGTCCCGACGGGAGTTCACAATTTGAGGCGGAGCGTCCCGTCCAATCTCCTGGCCTATATGCCCCAAATACGACAAGCCCGGCACTTTTCTCTTCCTGATCAGATACAGGTTCAGGGGCAAATCGAGCCACACCTCGTCATTGCTTTTCATGATCTGCCCAGCATCGCGCACGATCGTGGTAAAGAACTGGCCGATGATGTCGTTCCTCCTGAGATCTTTCGTTTCCGGTTGGAGTCGGTGCATCTGTTGCCCAGCCTCGGAGGAGCGCACCCACTGTTCCCACTCGATGTAGGAGACGTCCTCGAGTGTGCATAGGAGGCGCTCGGACCGGACTGTAGTCGATGACCAGGTGTTGGGAAAGTGTGAGCCGAGGAAATGTCGTTTTTGATGGGTGGAGGGGTCGAATACCTCTGACGGGGGCGGGGGGAGCTTCGTAAAATGCGACCAGAGGATTTCGCGGGCTGTTGGATTCCAGTATTGACCGATCCGGTTTGGACCGGTGCCGAGCAGGAATCGCAGCAGTTTTTCATTTAGGTCGGAGAATCTCTTTCCTTCTGGTAGCATGAGCGTGGGATAGGACTGAGCTGCATGAGCGTGAATTGGGTAACGAGGTGAACAGGCATACCCAGAATGCCACTGTGCCTCCTGGACGTAAAACACGGCCGATCTCCCTCCATGCATCGGGATATTTGAAATAATGCGCAGATTGGGCTGTATCCGACTCTGACGTTAGCTAGACTCGGTTTGCACGAGCAGACGACGCACCGGCAGTGATCATGTCAACGCTCTCTGTCTCTATGCTTTGCATGTTCTCTGCTTGCTCTTGGAAGAACCGCATCGTCCCTCTCAGCGGACGACGATAATCTCGGGTCATGGCGGTCTTAAGTGGCGGCCTGGAAATGTCTAGACCGATCACGTCCACAAATGTATGTCCCAGTATGACGGTCGAATCTCCTGATTATTGATGCCCTTTCCATCAGAAACACCACTCTTCAAAGCTGAGGTCGAAACTCACCATTGCTGTACCCCAAGTCTACGCATCGGCCATACTCGCCCAACCCGTCCGCATGGTAGGAAAATATGTGGTTGTAGATACTGCGCGGGTATGTGAACTGGAGTGGCTTAATGGCTCTTTTTAATGGAGAGAGCTGGTATGAAGGTGGCCCCGGGCGCCGCCATGCAGTGGTCATTTGCTATGAAGAAAGCATGCAGCCGCGTGAACGGGTTGTCGGCAAGTGCTACGAAACTTCGGGTTCCAGTTCGACCGTCAGGGTTCTGTTTAGCTCGACCGTGATGTGATGGGACCAAACACCTTAAACTTCCTTTCAGCCCTTCAATCGCATCCAAGTTCAATCCCGATCCTCCTCTTGTAGTATGCATCTGAGCGACACCTGTGGAACGGATTCGAGCATAGTCAATTACCCGGGATCGCAAAGTGGATTTTTTTTTTCTTTGACGGCTACGGGATATCGGGACCGGGGTCGCTCTATCCAGACTCCATACGCTGAGGATTCAAGACCCACACACGACACCGTCACGGCCTAGCATCCTAGGCCTTGCCAGGGCTGCGGCATGTCGGAATTTGTTTCTACAAGATTCGCTATAGGGTGGCGAGCATGCCTCTCCTTCTGTCTCCCAATGTCACTCTCGAGCTCGGAGCACAAATGAGAATGGAAATCTGGTATATTTGGATACCAATATCCTGCCAGGATACTTTCTGAAACGTCTTCCGAATCCGAGGCATTTCATCTGGCACGATGCCGGAAGCATGTATTGCTTCATGAACATCGTCCAACACACGTCCCTTCATACGATTTCCCTAGCTGACCGCCGTGGCCTTTGGTCAAGTCATTCGCACTATTGGCTAGAACAAGAAAACCAGGCATTTACAAGATTCCCTTCGAAGCTCGTTCACAAATTCATACAGTGAATTTGCCTGCTCTCAAGACTAGACGGCTGTAGATCCCTGATGTAGTGCTGTGACGAAAACGTTCAACGACTTGGAGGGGAATGGAGTGACTTGCGAGATCTTGCAGCTTTGAAGAAGACGCCTCATAGGAGAACGCGCCCCAGCACTCGACATCGATCATGTATAGGCTCGGCTCCCCATAACCTCCAGCTTCCGGGACGATCAAAGCAGGCAGCGAAGACGTCTGTGAAGATACCTGTCGTGTAGGAGTAGTCGGTGGACTCGCAGTTGTCGAGCGTGTGTCGGCAATATGTTACCCGTGAAGATGAAATCAGAAACCCGGTCCGGTCATCTCACACTGCAACGATCACCCAAGGACGGAAATAATGTATTACCGCGTGTTACCACATTCAACCGTGTAACCCTCGTGCCTTGTCGAAGATCATATGCGAGATCTCTGTGCCGGGTACAGTCTTGCTCTGCATCGTCGGAGAAACAATAACCAATTTCGAGCCTCCGGCCTGAACATGGCGTTCCATAAGCATGACAAGCGCAAGTATTATGCGGGAGATAGCTTCGGAGATCGTTCATCGGTCAGATTTATTTTACGGAAGATTCGTGAGGTCAATTCGCCCTTTCCTGTCTCTGGTGGAAAACAACGAAGTTTGAAGTAAGACCTCACATGTGGAGACCTAAATGATAATGCTGATCAAGCACTGATCGGGGTCAAGCTGCGTGAGAAATGCCAGCCATGTAAGCGTTTCTGCGCAGTGTGTTGGGTGCTGGGTCCAGGACAACGCGCGTATGGCCAATAAATCCCAATCACTCCCAACACAGGTGATGGCAGCGTGGGTTGGGCGCTCGGCCTTCGGCGTTACAGGTCGCAGCACTTTCAAAAAGAGAGGCCCAGACAAACTCGTCACAGGGGCTAACACCAAAACTTCGGAAGCCCGTTGGGATCGGAATTCCCCATCGGGGGTTTCATGTGGCTGTGAGGAGACGCAGCTTGTCGCAGCCTGCGTAGCCAGGGTCTCCATTCTTCTTTTCCTTTCAACATGTATCAACATTGCACGACGCTGGCGCCATCACGCCTTTTCCCGGATATAACTGCGGATATGCTATTTCCAGTGCATGCCCTGTATGGACGGGCTGAATAACAATGTCCTGATGGACCCAAGAACAACACAACACCATCAGGTAGACTGAGCGGATTGCTGCATAGCATCTTCTTCGTTCATCACTTTCGTCCAGGCCCTCATCGACGAACAGAAGTCGTTCTCTCATCCAAGGTCCTAGCGATTCTTCTCACGGCTTTGTACGGACTTGTACAGGGCGCAGACATGGCCGCAGTGCCTGGTCCTTGTTGGAGGACTTTCACCACCGGTGTATTGCATAAAGCCTGACCGTTGTGGCCAAGAGATGTTCTTCACTTCACTCTTTTCTCGCATCCGGTTCACGACAATCCATCAATACTAGTTGCTATTGATTATTCCCACGCAAGAAGCGCCATTCGCCAAAATGACAATGGACCAGCACTGTCTTCGTATGTTCACTTTTTGAATGGAAAAAATTGCAGGTGTTTACATCGAAAAGCCCCCACAGATCCGAATGCAGCTTACCTTTATTGCGCTTCCTTCACTGCCGCAATAGCATTTACTGTTCTCTATGGTCTGACCACTATTGTACATTTCGGCGAAGCCATCGCCTACCGCAAGCGTTTCTGCTGGGTAATCATCATGGGCAGCGTATGGGAGCTGGTGGGGCTCATATTCCGCACTCTTACCACTATGAACCAAAGTCAAACAACTTTCGTCAGCATCTCGGCTCCATTCATTCTCCTTGCACCAATCTGGATCAACGCGTTTGTGTACATGTGTTTGGGGCGAATGATGCACTACTTCCTACCCGGCGAAAGGATTTTTGGCATCAAAGCGGAGACAATAGCTGTCATCTTCATATGGGGTGATATCACGTACGTGTTCATCTCACTTAGAACGCAACAACGAGGTCTCATTTGCTGGCAGGTCATTCCTCGTTCAAGCTGGTGGTGGCCTTCCAGCTGACAGTGCAACTGATCCAAATGTCATCCGCATCTGTTTATTGGTGTACACCGGTGGTGTGGCATTGCAACAATTGTTTATCCTTTTCTTCTTCGCCATCGCCATTCGCTTCCACATGCGACTGGCCCAGAAGGGCGACACTGGAAGGGAAACCCACTGGCGCCCCTTATTGCTGGCAATGTACAGCGTCCTTATCCTCATCACGGTAAATGTCCTTTGTTTTGGTACGTAGAATTATCATTAATCCTGTTTTGTTAGATCCGCGTTTGCTACAGGATAGCTGAGTACTCAAGTGGCGTAGTCATTACCGATATCACCTCGCATGAAGCTTACTATTATGCTCTCGATGCGGCCCCAATGTTCCTTGCGTTGGCCATCTTTTGCGTTTGGCATCCTGGCCGTGTCTTGGTTGGTCCTGGAAGCGAATTCGAAAAGAAGAAAGGGAGGAGATGTTGCGGTTGCTGCGGACCAAGGACCAAGAGAGTCAGTCGGAAGACCACAATTGAAGGGCTACCAATAAATCTTGAAAATGGAGTCTCAGCTCAGTCAAGTCAGTATCCTTTCATCGAAATGTCGGACAATTATGGAAGAAAATGATTCACTAGGGTGATTGGTGGAATCTGAAACATATCATAGCCGAGTTATTTGAAGTGAGGATATCGGAACTTATACATCGATGTACGAAATCTGCACGGACTTTTTACACAATGAAATCTATTTGGTAGACAATCGTCGGGCGTTTGCTGCGGTGTTCCTGGTTCCATGATGCGAGCATGGATTGAGAAGGCCCTAAGTGGCTGAGCCCATTCAGAGATGGCAGCTTCTTCCTTGACACTCATCCGACAAGAGGTAATCTACCTGGATGGAGCAGACCGCTCTGGCCAAGCAATATCATCGTTATCTCAAATCAGTACGTACTTGAATAATAGCTCGGCTTGCAGAATTATAATCTCAGGCAGCTCGCGCGACTTGTCATTTATATACCCTAACTCTCGGTCACGTCGGTCAGTTTTTGCACCTCTACGCCTGGGTTCATAGACGAAATACCTGTCTTCTTCCCCATTGCAACATGATGAATTGCGAGAACCTATCAACGATCTGCGAATTGCTTCAAGCAAGTTTTTGTGAATTAGTGACTGCGCCGCTCCGAGCCGGAGTAACTGTCCGCCTCTGCTGCGGGGCCTTCTACTAAGACAGCATACCTGGAACAACTTAGTTACTATACTCTCAGTTTCCAGGGTAAAGTTGAGCATCTAATTTCCCTTTCTCCCACCTCCTTGTGTCAATTGCGCCGTCATGCTCAGGCACCGCCTGGATAGTGTTTGTCAGATGGATACCGACTCCGGACCGGCCACCTGCTGTATCTGACGAAGCGATGAAAGTGGCCGCTCAAAAGGCCGTGATGGAGCAGTTGAGCTGGTCTCGTTGCGCAGCGAATTCTCTGTTTTCCCTGCAGGAAAAGAAGAATGGCATACTGTTGCACGGAGGAGTCCTAGCGATTATTCGTATTCTCCCGGCCTCTCGCTAAGTTGCACCCAACGTATTGGATGTCGGGAATGGAGATGGTGGTTGCGCAGAACTGCCGCAGTCACTTCTTAAACGTGCACGCGGCATGAAGGGCTTCGAAACGTCAGGCTAGTCCAACCGAACCCTTCCGGTTAGGTCTCTCGTCCATGCCACCTGTATAAATACATAGCCATTGAGGCAGAAAAGTTTCAGCAACGAAAGAAAACCAAAGCCACAGCCAACATCTTCACTCCTAACGAGCACTCAAAGAGATACTACTTCCCAGAGTGTCGCCTCTTAGACGTTTACGATGGCCGATCAGCATTGCCTCGGTACGCATCTTGCTAAAAACAAACTTGCCATATGAAATTTTTATGCGTTTACCAGCTGTCACCGACCCCAACGCCGAGTACCTCTACTGTGCGTCCACTGCAGCGGCCGTTATCTTCAGCGTTCTCTTCGGCATCACCACCCTCGCCCACGTCATCCAATCCGTCGCGTATCGCAAGCCATTCTGTTGGGTGGTCATCATGGGTAGCGCGTGGGAGCTGCTCGGCCTCATCACCCGAGCGCTCTCAACGCAAGACCAGTCAAAACGGACCTTCTACCTCGCTTCGTCCCCGCTTGTCCTCCTTGCCCCGGTATGGATCAACGCTTTCGTGTACATGTGTTTAGCGAGGGTGATGCATTATTTCTTGCCCGGAGTGAGAGTTTTGGGGCTCAGAGCAGAGCGCGTGGCATTGGTGTTTGTGTGTGGCGATATTCTGTACGTTCTGCACGCCCGAGAGACAGTGGATTCCATACTGATCGCTCTCAGTGCCTTCTGTGTCCAAGCCGCCGGTGGTGGTTCAGCCGTCAGCAGCGATCCAGCGGTCACCCAGCGCGGGCTGTGGATATACACGGGTGGCATCATCCTCCAACAGACGTTCATCTTGTGCTTCTTCGTCGTGGCCGTGTTGCTGCACCGAGACCTGAGAGAGAAGGCGACCACGGAGCGGCAGACGAACTGGAGAGTGCTGATGTGGACGTTGTACGTGGTGTTGGTGCTCATCACTGTGCGCATTCTTTCCCCTAGATACAGGACACAGACTGAGAGTTTGACGTGTAGATTCGTATCATCTACCGGATCCTTGAGTTCTCTATGGGCTACATCAACTATGTGACTACGCACGAAGTGTTCTACTTCGTGTTCGACGCCCTGCCCATGTTTCTCGCTTTAGTGATATTCAACATTTGGCACCCAGCCAAGATACTCGTTGGTGAAGATAGCGATTTCGGAAACGGGTGCTGTGGGTGCTGCGGCGGTGGGAGGAGACGGAGTAGGAGGCTACTGGAGAGTCGTCCGACGGCAGGAAGGGCTGAGGCGGGTGTGAGTCCGTATGCGACTGAACATGGGAGAACAGAACGCCAGTATGGATATGAGATGGTGCCACCGTTTAAGGGACATACGAGGGGTGTGTGAGACTGGCGATTTCGTCCTTCGATTTCCCCGTAGCAAGCCGTTTCTCCTTCTCTGAACATTCGCACTCGTTCTTCCTTCTGATTGACAATCGTTCCTATTTACACCTTTTTAGCGGGATCCAACCTTCTGCTAGCTCCACGAAATAGAAAATCGCAACATCCGGGAACGTACCTACCATATTTCCTTCTTCCCATAGCCTTTCTATATATAGGAGACATGGTCTCGTCTTCCAGCCAGTAGTTTCACATCTCGGAAACCCGCCCAGTGCCGGAACATAGGCTCCATTATTTCCGGTATACAACGACATCATGCAGTCCACTCATTAGGGCCTGGGTCCTGCAGTTCACCGGGTTTGCACTTGGGAAAAGAGCGTTCCACTATTATCCAGGTTCCTTGGGCGCATTCGCATGAAAGTACCGTTCTTGGCAGCACCCTTTTCTTCCAATTGTCAAGAAATCGAATCCCGCCCGCGCTAGCTGCAAGTTTTGTTCAAGCCAGTTCCCAGGAGTATTTATAGCCCAACAAAAGCAGCAGAAAGAGGTCTCAACCAACCCTCTGGCCGGCGCCCAATCAGTCACGCTAAAAAGCCTCCGTCCGCACCGCCCGAAACCACCCCACGCCCTCGCGTCCCCTGTCCGTCACCTTGAGGCGTGTCTGTATCTGCACTTTCCCTACACTTGACATCCACCACCTCTTTCGCTCGCTTTCTTCGTCTTTCTACAATGGCCGACCAGCTTGTGAGTCTCTCATAGTTAGGGTTCGCAGGGATCTGACAAGTTCGCTGCTTGGGTATGTAGTCCGAAGGTACGTCACTAGCTCGGTTGACATGTCGAACGTGCTGACTGGGGTTGGTAGAGCAAATCTCTGGTATGTCGAGCATCTCGTGGTATGGTGCGGGTTATGGGCACTGGTGCTGATGGAGAGCAGAGTTCAAGGAGGCGTTCTCCCTGTTCGACAAAGGTGTGTCATTATGGAGTACCAGAACGAGCCGGCGCTAACCTGTGCAGATAACGACGGCACGATCACCACGAAAGAGCTTGGGACGGTCATGCGTTCCCTGGGCCAAAACCCCACGGAAGCCGAGCTGGGGGATATGATCAACGAGGTGGATGCGGATGGGAACGGGACGATCGACTTCCCCGAGTTCTTGACGATGATGGCGCGGAAGATGAAGGACACGGATAGCGAGGAGGAGATCAAGGAGGCGTTCAAGGTGTTCGATAAGGATGGGAATGGGTACATTAGCGCTGCTGAGTTGAGGCATGTGATGACGAACCTTGGGGAGAAGCTGAGCGACAATGAGGTGGATGAGATGATTCGGGAGGCGGATGTGGATGGAGATGGCCAGATTAACTATGAGGGTACGTGCGGATTATCCTTGTTCTGATCATTCTTACTTATGAGAGTTGCAGAGTTCGTCAAGGTACGCGGACTGTTGAGGTCAATATCGCCTGCTAATGTTTCGTAGATGATGCTCTCCAAGTGATCGACCGCTGTTACCGTCGCCCCGTCTTTATGTGCACGCCTATGCCTCTTTCTGAGTTGAACCAAATTAGCTGAATGTACTACGTGAATGTGCTGTTTGCCAGAGCGCGGCTCGTGATGTCTGTGGGATGTCTGCTTTGCTACACATTGTTCCGTGACAAGCAAACCGAGTCATCCATTACCAGTGGTGTTTGACAACTAAATCCAGCTCAGTGGTCGTCCTCCACCGCTTGGTTCTCAGGGTCATCGTCTCCCACCAATCCCTAATAAGGAGATGCGCCAAAAGAAGGGGCGAACCGGGCGGGATCAGATGCAGTCCATTACCTTATGTACATCAGATTGCAAACTTTTCCAACTTCTTATTGTGTGAGCCCCACATACAAATACTATGGACGTCGATGTGCTAGCTAGTCTACGATCGTCTGCATACATCGACAACGAGTGGATTATACTGGGTAGACTGAAGTGTTGGTAATGAATCCCGTAAATGTTGAATGTTGGTTAATGCTGCATGACGGGCGCTTGAAGTTTCTCTGCGTCTCGGCCGGGAGCGGCAGGAAAGAGGCGGGCCGACACCTTCCATCCCTCAATATCTCAGCGCTGGCCTCAGGCGGCGTAAGGGAGTAATCGGGTATCCAAAAGGGTGCCTGAGGTGTACCAAAGTGTTCTCCGGTTGGCTCTCACACGACACCTCTCTTCCTCCTCCTCTCATCCTCCCCTCCTTCCCCCTCCCCCCACCGTCGTCCACGATGTCGACACCCACCCCCTCACCGTCCTACAACGCCGGTGACATCTCCTACATCATCCTCTGTACAGCCCTAGTATTCTTCATGGTCCCCGGTCTCGCATTCCTCTACTCAGGTCTAGCGAGACGCAAGTCGGCCCTCTCTCTCGTCCTCGCATGCGCATTCTCCAACGCAGTAGGCATCTTCGTCTGGTACTTCTGGTTTGTCCCTCTTCCATCCACGTCTTCTCATCATTCGCTGACCACGGCGATGATATTCCCAGGGGATACTCCCTCGCCTTCTCCCCCACAGCATCAAACGGCTACATCGGCAACCTCTACAACTTCGCACTCCAATCCGCGCTCTCCGACCCCTCTCCCAATTCTCCCTTCCTCCCAACCCTCCTCTACGCATTCTATGAATCCGGTTTCGCTTGTGTAACCCTATCCATTCTCATGGGTGCCCTAGCAGAGCGGGGTCGAGTCCTCCCTGGCGCTCTAGCGTTCTCCGCACTCTGGCTCACACTTGTCTATTGCCCACTTGCATACTGGGCATGGGGCACGAACGGCTGGGCCTTCCGCTGGGGAGTGCTAGACTACGCCGGCGGCGGACCAGTAGAGATCGGCTCCGGTGTCGGGGGTCTCGCCTACTCCTGGGTCCTTGGCAGGCGCACGGAACGCGAGCTCGTCAACTTCCGCCCACATAACGTTGGAAATGTCGCCCTGGGCACGTTTGTCCTCTGGCTCGGATGGCTCGGGTTCAACGGCGGCTCAGCGTTCGGAGCTAACTTGCGCGCGGTGCTCGCCTGCGCCAACTCGAATCTTTGCGCAGCGATGGGTGGGATCGCCTGGTGTCTCCTTGACTGGAGGGTGGAGAGGAAGTACACGATGGTCGGATTTTGCTCGGGTACGATCGCGGGTCTCGTAGCTGCGACGCCGGCGAGTGGGTACCTCCCTCTATGGGCGAGCGTCGTCCTTGGTCTCGTAGCTGGTGTGTCATGTAACTTCGCTACCAAGAGTGCGTTCTCCTTCATCATTCATCCTTCGTACTGCTAACCGACATGCGCAGTCAAGTTTCTGATAGGGATCGACGATGCCCTGGATCTGTTCGCTGAGCACGCTCTAGCCGGTATAATCGGCCTGCTCTTCAACGGGCTTTTCGCCTCTTCCTCCCTCACCGCGCTAGACGGCGTGACCTCCATCTCCGGTGGTTGGACAGAACGCAACTGGCGCCAGATGTACGTCCAAATTGGATACATCGCCGCCTGCTGCGCGTACACCTTCGTCGTCACCGCTCTCCTCGCCTGGGTACTCAACAAGCTCCCCGGCTGCGCCCTACGAGCAGGGGAGGAGGCGGAGAGGAAGGGGATGGACGAAGACCAAGTTGGGGAGTTTGCGCAGGACTTTATCGAAGTGAGACGGGATTATATGGCTTGGGGACTGGGGGAGGAGAGCTGTGCCGCTAGTTTGGGGGAGAGGAAACGTCCCGTACCGGCGGAGGCGAGGCATGAGGCGGTACTCGTGAGAGAGACAGAGGAGGAGAAGGAGGGTGGGGAGGCAGAAGGAGATGTCGACCTAGGCGAACGGGCGAGGACGGAGGGATCGGCTTCTACGACTGTTGCGGACAGTCAGGCGCTGCCTGAACGACGGAGTGGGTGGTTCGAAGCTGGCAGACATCCGGATCCGGAGAAGGAAAATGTTTAGCTCGAGGGCTGGACATGACGGACCGCTTGCAGGGTTGAGAGGACGGATATCGGATGCTTGGATCGACTCCCATGGGATGGACGAGGTGGAAGCCACACCACACCACACTTGAAGACAAATAACACCACACTTGACAACGAAGCTACCACACTTGACGAAAGAAGACACCACACTTGACGACACCACAGACGAGATATCGCTACCGGTAGACGGTAGACAGTAAACCGAGGGGTTTAAGATACCCTTCCTTTCATTCCTTCCATTCTATCTTCTGGTGTAAAGCTAGAAAGCGCAATCTTTATACAGATTTATCGGGTTTTCGAAGAGTTTGTCAGGAGTTGATGTCGATGTTTGGTGGAAGCGGAGGTCCCAGCCTTCCAGTTGACAATGGAGCAGCGACCAGCGAAAGAAAACGAAACAAGAACCAATGCGGGGAAACTTTCGGATTTTATATTTTTATCTTCCTGCTCTGCCGCTAGAATTGAGACTCTGGCCACTCGGCGACCGAAATTCCGCCTCAGCCTTATCAACCTCCGCTTTCTTGCCGTTGCTTATCTACGGGCTCTATTCCGAACTTCAATATATTTATAGGATCCCTATCATGGTTCAATGGGTGTCGTTCTGTTCTTATCTTTCAACACGAATTGGTTCAATTGGAATTGGTTGGATCTAAAGTATGACGGCAGGTCGACAGAGAGTGAGCCCGGAGTTATGCATCCCACCGGAGCCGAAGGGCGGAAGCTTGAGAATCATCGGTGTGTCTTTCAGCCCACAACGGCATTTTGGGCTTGATCAAAGAATTTCCAGCATCTCACTTGCGTTTCTCTGTCTTTATGTCCTATCTGGAGATCAAGTTTGATAGCCACGTATGAAATGCGCCTATGTTGGAACTGCTACTCTCACTGTGTTCCTGAATTGGCTTCAGTTCTCCCGGACGTTATAATTACCGATACCCAAGCGATCTCTGTCCAGTCGCATATGCTAGACGTTGCAGCCTATGACTGGGTACCGCATCAGACTGGCCGTATTCTGACGGCTGTTGGTCCCTTCCACAGCCTTCAGGAAGAGGTACCTTGGCTTGGTCTGCGGGCGGAAAGATTCTGACAGGCGTCTGCCATCTTCCATCCTCACTTCCCTTGTCTCGGTTCCAACGGGCGTCGGGCATGTTAGTGCATGCTATTGATTTCTGTGATCGCTTGATGCTTTTGCGGCATAGACTGGCAACTTCCGGAGATAGTGATGCATGCTTGTCACATATGACACGTGTTCTTCCGGCTTCCGAGAGGGCTATCGCCCCTTGCCTCGCGGACGCGCTGGAAGGGACCGAGCGTCCTCGGAACCGATGCATCGCTCTTCCTAGGGTGCAAGCGCCGACTCTTGCTTTATGCAGGCAACGGGTTGAAGAGGACGAATACTGGATGGAGTGCCGAGATGGTTATGGGCAGTGTCGCCATGCGGACAAGGACCGGTCTAAAGGCTACTTAAACATTCCTTACTGCCTCAAAGCTAGGACAAAGGCGCATTCGTCCCTGTACCCCCCACACACACTCTGTGCTACCATTAGACAAACGTAAGCCCCGTCCATCTGGGACGTGCACATAACAATGCTGATATTTCATGCAGTCTTCTACTAAAATGGAAGTAACCAGCCTTGTCGTTGCCGCTGCCGCCTTTGCCGTCGCCTACACTGCGGAAGGTCTGCCTCGTAAAATGCCGGTGGGTTTCACTTTTCTTTTCTCATAGTCCACCTGCTTATCAGCCCTCTCGTCTAGAGTATCCCCAGCCTGAGACTCCCGTCGCTTGCTACACAAGTTCCTGCCTCGGTCACCAAGGGGAAGCAGGAGTTCAGGGGCAAGGTCAGGCGGGTCCGCTTTGTCGAAGTAGAGAAGTATTGACTGGGGGCTTCCGTGCCTGCTGTAGTAGGTGTCGTCGATCTTTTACACTATCCTCTGGGCTCCTCCTGTCGTCTGCTGAGCGGTCACCATTGTCTAAATGTAGGGTTACATCATTATCATTGCTCTTCAGTTATTCCGGAATCTGTAATCTTTGTACAGTATTGTATGTATTCTGTTGATGTAGATGAGTGCGTTTTCCTTTTCCAAGAATGGTGTGATGTGGTCCGACCTCAAACAGTAGACGAGTACGTGCCGGATGTGCCTGGTTTGGGCGAGGAGTCCAGATTGTGAAGAGGCACGACAGCAAAATTTCTCCAAATACTGACAAGTGTAGTCAGCCCTCCTTGTCAAGTCATCAAGTTTCACGCAAAAAGGTAAGACCGAATCACGTGATGTTGAATTCCGCTTCCCAGAGGTGGTACCTCGGTGCCGCAGACGGCGTTCCTGAGATGAGGCCACTGGACAATTCCCGGTTTGGGCGGTGCATCGAGCTTTTGTCTGAGTCTGATTTATTCGACCTCTCTAAGTGCTCAGATTGGAATGGTATGCAACGCTGTATACGTATCTGGGCAAGTACACTGAGTGTTAGTGGATACCAGTCCATTTCTGTACCTTGTATACTAATACAACAGACGAATAAGCAACATCCGCTGTACATAAACCGTGTGTATGGAGAAAAAGAAAAAATGAATGTGAGATATTGGGACAGCTCGTTGAGGCCAAGAAAAGGGAGAAACGAATATGCACCGAGCCTAAAGATTAGTTCTCGTCATCCTCCTCCTGTACAGTCTCCCACCCAGGCCCCTTAATTGCCGCAAACTCCGTGCTCACACCGCGCATACTCCCATAGCTAAAAGCACCGCTCGGGCGGGGTCGGAAGCTTGCCCTCCTTCCTTTGGACTCCTTCAGCTTTTGGGCGTTGCGGATCCGCTCTTCTGTCGCACTTGGGATACGTGCATGGCTTCCAAAGACGGCAGTGCTGTTGTTGGGGACCCTAACGTTCGAGGGAGGCGCCCCGTACCCTAGCTTACCATACCCAGTCGTTCCTGTGCCACTCGCATCGCGTGCCGCTATGCCCATCCCAGTGGATGGGGCAGGGGGCTTGCCCACTGTACGTGGAGCACGATATCCAGGCGTCTCATACACATTGGTTGCAACCCCCAGTGGGCGCGTGGCACGGGCAGCGGCAGGCGCTGTTGCAGGAGTCTGGGCGAGTTTTTGTCTCTTGACGGTGGAGGGATTGCCAGTTGCCGAGTTTGCAGAGGGGGTACGGGTGCGCTTGAGGGCTGAAGCGGGGCGTGGAGTGGGAGCAGTTTTCGCTAGAACCGCAGTGGGCTTGTGCTGCATATGCCTGTTAGCGTGTCCTATTAATGATCCAAATGACTGGAAGGCGTACCCGTTTATTTTCTTTGTGTGCTTCAGAGGCAGAGATACTCTCCTCGATGACCTGTCTGAGCGACTGCCCATGCACCATGAACAAGCGTCCGTAGTTGGTTTCCCAATCAGGAATGATGTCCAGGAGCTCCTTCTCCAGCTATGAACCAATGAGAATCTCAAACTTGCAAAGGTAACGGAAGCAACCGTCTCACCTTGGGCTTCTCCCTGCTTACCCTTTTCCTCATCTTCTCCTCCCTGAGGAGCCTGCCCGCGTCCCCACGCTTGCCCAGAAGCCTGGATGGGTCCTGGGCAGCGACCTCCAGCTCGCGCTCCTCGTCGCAGAGCTGGAAGTACTTCTGCACGTGGGAGAGGATGGGCTGCTTGTCCATTTCCTCTTCTCGGAGCCGCTCAATCTCAGTTTCGTGACGTACGAGAAGTTCTTCCGTGTGGTCATCTAAAACACATACAGATGGCATCAGTGAACTTTCTTATCTCAGGGACATCGTGGTATCCACAGAGTGTCCCGTAGCCAGAAATGCAGGGGAATCGTAAATCCAGGAGAAAGAGATAGAACACCACACACCATCATAGAAAGGTGCAAAACGTTCCCTCTCGTCCTCGCCGTACATCATCGCCTCCCAAAGCGTGGAGATCTCCTCACGCGCATTCGTGATAAAGAGGGACATCTTCTCCCGTTTGAGGGCTTCCATGCGTTCCAATTCCGCCTCGTACTGTTATTGGAACGGATGACCGAGTCAGGCTATTGACGGATAATGGGAATAAGGGTGAGAGGACGCACCGCCTGAACAGACGCCCCAGTGGTCCCCGTAGCACTCTCGACGAAAGTGCGCACTTCAAGCTCGTCCACGCCTAGCCGGTGCCAGAGTCCCTCGAGGCGATTGTAAATCTCCTGGATGCGGGCTGCTCGTTGGGCTGTCACGGCATCCAGCTGGAAGATATTTGGTCAGGTCCCATACAGGATGAATGGCAGGGTTAGGTGGAGTGGTGGGATGGGTACACGCATACCTGTTCCCTGAGCCTCTCAGCCCATTGCATCACCTCTGGCGTTGGGTCAATCCCTTCCATGCCTGTTAGGTCTTGACCCAGCTCGAACCCCTCCGTCTCGCACTCGTCGATGCGTGCGACGAACCTAATGAAGCAGATGAGGGAGAATTGCATGTGAAAAGGATAGAAAACGAACTGAATGAATAGCGCTTCGGGTGTAACGCTCGTCATAGGGCATCCACGTGTTCCGTCGGACGGAAGCCCGGTTGAGGGCCTGAGTAGGTCATTCTCCTCAGGGACGCTGGGGAATGAAATTACAAGGTCCATGTGCAAGCTGAGCAGCTCTGAGAACAGGAAGCATAAGTCTGTCGTGCGTTTGGACTGCGTCGAGAGGTAAGTAAGCGACGCGGTGAAGCGAGTAGGACGCACAATCTCCGTCTTTCCGCGAAGAATCTCGCGTTCTAGCAGCTCAAACCGCTCGGGAGTAACATCCACTGCTTCGACTTCCTTTTCGACTTCACTTTGGGGTTGAGTGGTGATGTGAAGCAGCTCGGGGGGAAAGAAGTTTTCAGGCAGAGAACGGACAAGAGAAGTGAGGCGCGTAGAGAGCACTGCAAGTGTCAGTCGTTAGTTAAGTTGAGCATAAGGGTAGAAAAGGGAGCGAACGAGAGATTTGTTCGAGCTTGGCTGTGTGTAACCCAGAGAGCTTGTGTTCCTGTTGCGTGAGCAACTCGAGGCGTCTTGGCAGCACCTGCAAGCTGTGAGCGAGAACCATTGACAGACGGAGGATTTATATACTTCGGTATGCTCTTCCAACGCATCTATAATCCCCTTGCCCCATCCGCCCACTTTATGCTTCAATCCAACCACCCTACGCTCCACGGCAGCACACCTGGCTTCCCACTCGCTCACCTCCTCCTTCCGCTTCACCAGCTGCTGGTCAATTGCAGTGAGAAGGGAATCGCGGAGTTGTGCAAGATCAGAGGTGAGGGCAGAGGGAGGGAGACCGAGTGCTCGATGTAAGATTGGGAGTGAGTGCGTGAGATGTTCAAGCGGCGGTTGCAGTGCCGGGAGCAGCGTGTCGGGCGTGAGTGTTGCGTCCATGTTGTTTGTTATCGGGTATACTATTTATGTTGTTGACAGTGAGCACAGAGTGTTAACAGAGATATACGTTGTTGCTAGATGTATGCGCGTTGTTCGAGGCGTTGAGATGCCTTGCAAGGGCGTCGTGAAGCAAGGAAAGGACGACCCGCAACCCACCGTGTTTACGACGGGCGCGCCTTGGAAGACGCCCGAAGTTGGCTCACATGACGCGCATCATCACGTGACTGTTGATTTTCTTCTTCTCCATGCGTTCAGGGTCCACTTTCCGACGGTTTCGCAGCGGATTCCTTCTCTTCCCAAGCTCAAGATGAAGCTGACGAGTCCATGATCAATCTCACGGGTTGCATTCCGGTCGCTCAACACTTTTATAAACCCCCCTCGTCAACCTTTTTACCTGCATTCTAGTCACCCACTACCATCATGGATAGTAAAGGCGACATTGAGAACGTGAATCTCCTCTCTAACTCACTGGTGAAGCGCAACAAGACGCGTTGGGCAATCGGGGCGACGCTCGTCTTCCTGTTACTCCAATGTGTCGTCTCGGGGCCTCAGCTCTTGCTCTCGCCTCTTTTCACTCCGACGTCCCAAGCACCCCCAGTCGGTATGGATTCTGATCTCGCCTCAGGTATCTCTTGGTTCGCCTGCCCCGACGTGACGGAATTCGACTGCGCATTCTTCTCCGTCCCGCTCTCTTATGCAACCCCCGTTCCTGATGAAAGGGTCTCCCTTGCTCTCCGTCGTTATCCTGCCACTGCGCCCAAAGATCAGTACCTCGGCACACTGTTTACCAACCCTGGTGGGCCGGGAGGTAGCGGCACGGCGTATCTCGTCGAGCGTGGGCCGGCACTCAGCAAGATCTTGAGTGGAAGATACGACATATTGAGTTGGGATCCTAGAGGAGTTAACATGGCACGTTTCTCCTTTCGCACCTTCTCCATCGCGAAACTCTGACCGTCGTACAGACGACCCCACCGTTGGGCTGTTATACAACCGACTTCGCGGAGTTCCTGCAGGAGTTCAAGCAGACACAACTAGGGCTACCCATGTCACCTCACTACACATTAGCGAACGACACCCTCTCTCCCGGCGCCGCTGCCGCCCAAGCTGGAGCAGACGAATGGTACCTCCGTACCGATGCGTACTACCAAGCCACCGTCTCTTCCTGTGCAAAGAACGGCAACTCCAAGATCCTCAGTGCTGTTTCTACCGCACATGTTGTACAGGACATCCGCTCAATGCTCTTTGCACTTGGGGAGGAAGATGTAGGGCTAAACTACTGGGGATTCTCGTATGGAACCATCCTCGGTGCCACCTTCAGTGCCATGTTCCCAGAGCTCCTGCACCGTGTCCTCCTCGACGGGGTGAGCGACAGCGTCACCTACACGCGGGACATGTACACATGGGGAAAGAGCGGGATGAACGACACCCACTTGGTATGGGAAGGGTTCTTGAAGGAATGCGCCGCTGCGGGGCCGACCCGGTGCGCACTGGCGGGCGAAGGCAGAAGTGCGGAGGATATTGAGACCTTGGTATGGGAGCTCGAGGAGAGGCTTTTAGCCCACCCGATGCCGGTGGCATATACAGGGTTGAACTCCGGCATCCTGACTGCGTCTGATGTGCGACTCGCTGTGCGTTCCCTTCTCCCTCATCACGCCGAATCATTGTCAGCTGTTCACTCTGCGTCAGATCTTTGCCGCCCTCTACAAGCCCTTCGCGTGGCCGTCCCTCGCTAAAGCCCTTGCCGCAGCTATATCAGGTGATGGCGGGCCTCTGATCGACATGAATGGATTCCAGTCTCTGGATGAGAGAAGGGACCGGGACCCGCTGGATAACGTCTTCCACCGGTATATGGCACGACCATTGTCGAAACCCGTTGGCAGTCCGCTTTCTACTGAGGTACGTACCTGCCCATCATATAATTCGGTCTTGCGTGCTCGCATTCCTTGCTTTCCTAGCTGCTACATTTTCTTCCTGCGCCCCTTCCCTTCCACGTTTTCATCTCGCACCAGAAATCTCATCACTGACTTGTATCCCGACAGGCGATCATGTGCTCTGATACGCTTCGTTCCGCCCTTCTTCCACCTGGCGCGACCGAGCCCAACCAGACGTACTTCCGTCAATGGGCCGAGGAGCTGGCTCTTCAAAGTCCGACCGGCGAGAACTGGGCTCGATGGATCGGCAGGTGCAGGTGGTGGAACGTCACTGCGGCTGAAGTCTACAGAGGCCCTTGGACGAAGGAGGAGGGTCTGAGGAAGACAAAGTGAGTAGCTCTGATTCTTTATCGCCCAGCTATCGCGCAATCAGAGTGGAGCTGATCCCTGGCGTATGACAGGTTCCCAGTGGTGTTCTTCAGGTACGACAGAAACTTTCTTTGCGAGTCTGATTTCCACTGACCGTGAACCTATAGTATGGACGCCGATCCCGTCACTCCGCTTTCTGCAGCGACAAGCATGGCCTCTGGTTTCGGCAAAGACAGCGCAACGTTAGTCATTAACCGGGGGTACGTCCTTACACTCCTACTCTGCATCCGTCTCCATCAACGGCTTTGTGCCCTGTGCTTACTCATTCATTGCAACAGGTACGGACATTGCTCAATCGCTCATCCCAGCATGTGCGTCGCCAAAACTATGCGAGCGTACTTCTTCGACGGCGTCGTCCCCGAGTGGGGCACAACGTGCACGAGCGACCCTGGGCAGCTCTTCCCCGACTCATCCGTCCTCTCGCAGGGAGAGCACGTACCGCACGTAGCGAGCATGACCGCGGAAGATGTTGAGATCTGGGAGGCGCTCCAGACGCTGGCGTCATCGGAGCATAACATGTGGTAATGACTTTGGGCGTAGAACTCATTCCTTCCCCGGGGATTGGCGATCGACGAATGGCACCGGTACAGGGGCGGTATGCAGGCGTATCAATCTACTTTGTAGACCGAAATGGATTTCATTTTCTCCTTCACGTAAGGGGGAAGAATCCGTCCAAACGTTCTAACTCCTGCATGTCCTTGGGGTAGGATCGACTGCACCGGTGTAATGCGCTCCGGATCCTCCTCGAAGATTCTACGGCCCCGTCTACATATCGAACACTCGCCTTCCTCTTCAAACACGCAACAGGCGGTTTGCGGCATCGACTCTTTATGCACTCAGTAGGTACACTGGACCATTGTTTTGCTATCTGGTAGCAATGCATATTTAGTGTACTCAAAGAAAACAGAGAGAAAAGGGCGAGGCGACCTACAATCGTCCACTACTTAGTCCATCGGACGTTCTGATTGCTGCCAGAGGCCCTGTTACCAAAAAGAGATAACTGTGGGCCAAATAAGGAACCCTTACAACATGCAATGCAGCGTATACGCCCGCCGGCTGTCATTTTATAATCGGCATTGTTTTTACTGATATTGAAATGCTATACATACGCCCAATCATGATCTTATGTTGCGCAGGCCAGCCCAATCGGAGCCCTCGCAGCTCAGTTTGACACCCACGGTGCCGAAGGGGTTGTGCGCACCTGATGGACTGAATGCACATAAAGGCGAGAACAATTGACGTCCCTCTCCCTCTCTCACCGTCGATCTAGTGAATCATCCCCAGCCTACCTTGTAACATGTCGCCATCCGTACGCAGTGTCGAATCGGTGGTTATCCCTGACCTCATTGCTATGGAGCCTTTTGAGTTTCGCATTAACCCTCTCGATTCGATCATTGGGCCTGCCACAGACAAGTGGCTCGAAACGCCAGGTGTCCTTACAACGAAGAAAATGCAGAAGACACAGAAAGTACTGAACGCGGGACTGCTGGGTGCTATGTGTTGGCCGGACATAAATGACAGGGAGCGCCTCCAAGTTTGCACAGATTTCGTCAACTTTCTCTTCCATCTTGACGATCTTACGGATGATATGGATGGAAAGAGTGCAGAGACTGTTAGGGAGGCGGTAATTGACCCGATGGATAACCCAGAGAAGTGGATGAAGAAAATCGAACGGGGAGAAGCCCACGGCATCTCAGCTTTGGCGCTTGAGTAAGTCGCTCTTCCGGGTGACATTTTTCAACCTGACTAAATGTCGCGACAGTCTGTGGTTGCGTATCTGTCATACAGCTACCCCGGTAGTTTCCAAGCGCTTTAGGGATACGTTTGACACGTTCTTCGTTGCGGTGACGGAGGAGGCTGTAGACCGCAAAAAGAAGGTTATCCGTGGCGTCCAAGACTACATCGATCGTCGTCGTGTCAACGGGGCTGTCCGATCTTGCTTCGCTTTAATCGAATACGCGAATGATTTCGAGCTTCCGGAAGAAGTATTCGACCATCCGACCATCCGAAAGCTTGAAGATTGGGCGAACGATCTGATAACCTGGGCAAATGGTGAGCTAAATCACCTTCTAGGGAAATATCCGTTTTCTCACTATTCACGGAAGACATCTTATCCTTCCCGATTGAATACGAGCGTGGTGACTCGTCCAATATAGCGATGTCCGTCATGCATGAGAAGGGTCTCGGAGTTCAAGATGCGATGGACCACTCCAGCAAGCTCTTCGGCGATGTGGTCGAGAATTACGTTACAGCCCGAGCTACGCTGCCAAGTTGGGGACCAGAGATCGACAAAATGGTAGAACTGTATCTCCATGGCATGGAGTACTGGGTTATAGGCTCCACCGAGTGGTGCTTTTGGACCCAGCGGTATTTCGAGGATGGGCTGGCGGTCAGAGAAAAGCGGGTGATAGAATTCCAACGTCCTGAGAAGGCTACGTAGAGAGCACAACATCTCATGCAGTCCTTCTTTCACTATTAGAATCAATAATCAATAATGAGACAAATCATGGAGCAACATAATGCGTGGCACGTACGGCTCAGCAAGGGACAGACAGAAGAAGTTGAACAACGGGTGTGTTCCCATATTGCTAGCTCGTCCTCTTTCTAGCATAGTTCTGCGTGACTTCGAAGATGGCAACTACTGATATCTTGACATTGAGATTACTGTATATTAAGTTTGGATCTCCTGGTCTGCAAACAAGCCAGTTCCCGATTGATCAATGATGTTCAGCGGCAAGTAGTGAAGCGCCACGCACTTCCATGATCCATTGGTCTCGATTTTCTTCGTGCTGCCTCAATTGACAAGGTCATCGATAACAGTGACACGAACGTAGGGATGAAGTTGTGTAGCCTGGTTAATTTCATTAGCCTCGGACGTTGCAGACATGGTCGTCAACATGAACCCTTTTAGATTGTCCACCCATGGTCGCGTCGCCTGCTCAAGACTATGTAGATCATCATCCGTCTTATTGTTTGCTCTAGGAAGGACAATGTTCGTGATGCTGGGTAGCGCTCAAGTAACTGAGAAAAGGCTATGCGTTGAAGGCATTTCACACGGCACGTTACTATCAATTCGACCTAGAGGCGTCTCAGGTATACGTACTGCGGTGTATACAGCGACTGTGCCTGCTTTCGAGATTATGGTACGTTCTCTCCCGAGACTATAGCTTCTCTGTCCGACCATTTCAGTGTTCTTACCCAGAAGTCATGCGGTGTGACCTTGTGCCGTCTTCTCCCTCCAGCTCTCCAAGGTGCCCTGTCAAGCCTCACCCGTCTTTCCTTCTCAGGGCACCACGTTCCCGTTGCGCACAAGGACCAGCGGCTCAAGACGTCATTTGTGGTAGCGGAACGATATATCTAGTCTAGAGGACCGGTGACCAATAAGATCTGGGGGGTTTTAGGAGCGGAAGGCATGAAAGATTGAGCTGGGATACCAAGGTGGTTGACATAGTACGTTTCGCCTCACCTAACTTTGTACTTGTGCATATAACGTGCCTTTTGAAGCTCGGGTCAGACAAACTCGCCCATAGGTCCCCCCCGGTCGAGTTGACGAGGATGATGCGGGAGTTTTAGCACAGACCTCATCCAGTTGGGCCTTCCCGCGCACCTCACCAACACCTTCCTCTTTCCCAATCGCATCGATGATGCTACGACACGTGCTAGAAAGTGCACACTCACTGCTGTGAGTACAACGAAACCTTCAAGTCAATCAACCGCCTTTCCACGGCACGCAGTGGGCACAATATCCATTCGATCCTCACGCCTGTGGGAACAGGGTGGACAGAATATCCGTTCGATCCTCACACCATGTGGGAATGGTTCTTGAAGGGACATATTGATGAGGTGGTCAAGAGGTGGATGCAACTTGGGACGGTAGATGGAGGATCTGGCGTGGGGACTGCGGACTTGATCCTGTGTATCTACACGATTTGAACAAGCGGCCTTCTGTGTGCTCCTGTTATCCTTATCATCCAATTGAGCGCTAATACCATGATCTCCCGCAGATCGTTGCCATACTCTACAGCCACCGCACGCGGCTCCGGGGCCAATAGTGGGCGACGGACCTCGAAACCATCTCCTCCGAGGGCAAGCGCCATCCGAGAACCGTCTTCCGCAAGCATATGATGCCTCTGCCATCGAGAACCGTTGGGAATCCGTTATCTGTTGGGGTGCACGTAGCCGCCTGCCCTGCGATCTCTCGCTATGCCGGCTCTCTTCATATCTGTGTGGCGTATATATTCTCGTACATTTCATTCCTCTTTCCCGTGTTCAGGATTGTCTGACCATTCAACGACATCATCCCCATCATCATGCTGCCCACACAATTTTGGGCTCCACACACGTTCTTTCTTGCCCTCTTCTCCTCCAGTGCCAGCAAGTCCAACCGCAAGCTGGGGGAGGTACCTTCTCAAGGCTGATGGGCACGAACTAGGCAGGCTAGATCGGCATGTCATATCGTGGAACATCGCTGCAGCTGACATGTTGAGAGGACCATCGACGCGGCAGGACCACTACGGGAAGACAAAGTGAGTGCTCGTCATTGGTTCTGCCCGGGCCCTTGTGCAATGGGATATTGGAGCTGATGCGTAAGTTGTGACAGGTTCCTGCTAGTACTCTTCATGTGCGATTGCGCATTGTTTGACCTCGATCCTGCACGAGGGACGCCGATCTCGTCCCTCTCCTCTCCACAGAACTCGCCATGGCATCGGATTTACCGAAGATACCGCTCTGTTCTTGACGATTGTGCGCCCTCTCATTCCCACTCCACTTCGCCCAGCTTGACCACAGTTCCGGCAGTTAAGCACCTGCATTCCGGCACGCACCATGCGATGATACCTGTACGACGGCCTTCTCGACTGGAATGAGACGTGCACGTATAATCTTGGGTAGGTTGTTCACGGCACCTCCCTCCAAGCTCCAATACTAGGACGGGCTTGTATCGTAGCGGTGGCAAAACACTACTGGAGGGGTGCTTCAGGCGCTCGCGGAGTCGGAGCACGACACGTGGTTCTACTTCTGGTATGGAGCATTGCACCCGCGCTTTGGTGAGCGGCGTGGCCCAGGCACGGTCGCAGGTGGTATCGCGGGTGCATTGATCAACTTAACAGATCTAAACAGATCTTGATTATCTCAAGCGCCCGACGAGTGGAATTGCCCGTCCTTTGTATAGGGAACACGTATTATTTGTTACGCATCACTGCGGCAAATTGTTCGCATCACCATGCCCGAGATCTGTGTAACAATGCAGATAACGGTTCTTCTCCGCATTCGTTTGTCCCTGAATGGTGAGTTTTCACTAACAAGTCTATCGCATTACGAGAGTCCTCACTTATTAATAGACACGATGCGAAATTACGATTCAGGTTCTTCCACGATCGGCCGCAACCCTTATGGCGGGTGCAATCTCTCCCGCAAAGTGTGCATCGGCGCTCGGTGCGAAGACGGCGCGATTTTTCTTCCTCGACAAAACAGCGCCTTCCTGCGAGCGGCGCTCCGTTGACCTGCCAGAGACGACACATTTGGCAACTATTCACCTCTGTCGACGTCTGCTCGAACTGGTTGTAGCCTATCTCGCGGGCGCGATTCGTCTTTTGGGTCCCCCCTTGGGCATGCTATGGGGCGCGTTTGTCACGGGTTCCCTAGATACCCCGCATACGCCGGCGCTTCTCTGGTTGTTCAAGGTGATCCTAATGAGATCATGCATTCATCACCTCAGCCTCTGACAGTCAGTAACGCCGACAATGTGAACTGAAAGCATATAAATACGGACCTGGCTTTGACGGCTCACCATTCAAACAGGACAAGTACCTCACTCACTCCACTTCAACGCACCTAGCTCAGCACATACAATGTCGCCATCTGTATCGAACTTCGATTCGGTGATCATTCCTGATCTTGTCAACATGGCGCCTTTCGAGTTCCGCATTAACCCGCTTGATCATATCGTCAGTCCAGCCAGTGACAAGTGGCTCGAAGCCTCCGGCACGCTTGCAACGAAGAAGATGAAGATGGCCCAGAAAGGGTTGAACGCAGGGTTACTTGGTTCCATGTGTTGGCCCGACATACAGGACAAGGAGCGCCTCCAAGTCTGCGCGGATTTCGTCAACTACCTGTTTCATCTTGACGACCTCACAGATGAAATGGATGCGATAAGTGCTGGCGTTGTACGGGAGGCGGTCATCGATGTACTCGACGATCCAGAGAAGTGGACGAAGAAAATTTCCAGGCGAGAGGCGCATGCGATCTCCGTTCTGACCCTCGAGCAAGTTTCCCTCACTCTCCATGTCGTTTCTGATTCTAATGCTGCTGACAGCATGTGGTTGCGCATCTGTCGTACTGCGACTCCGTTGGTTCAGAGACGCTTCAGAGACACGCTAGAGGAGTTCTTTGTTGCGATCATGGACGAGGCCATAGACCGGAAGAAGAAGGTCATTCGGGGTGTTCAAGACTATATCATTCGTCGCCGCGCCAATGGTGCTGTGCGCCCTTGCTTTGTGTTGATCGAATACGCCAATGGATTTGAGCTTCCGGAGTCAGTGTGGCATCATCCCATTATCCGAGACCTTCAGGATTGGGCTGATGATCTGGTATCATGGGCGAATGGCGGGTTTTATCTCAGTGTCTGCGCGTGTCTATTCTGACTGTTCCCGCAAGATATCTTGTCGTTTGGGGTTGAATACAGCCGTGGGGATACCTCGAATATTGTCATGTCAGTCATGCATGAGCAAGGCCTCGGAGTTCAGGACGCTATGAACACTGTTGGCAAAATGTTTGACGACGTGGTTCAGAATTACCTGGCTGCCCGTGCTGCGCTGCCCTCTTGGGGACCGGAGGTCGACCGAAACGTGCAGGTTTATCTCCAGGGTTTGGAGTACTGGATTATCGGATCTACCGAATGGTGCTTTTGGACCCAACGTTATTTTGATGATGGGATGTTGGTTCCAGACAGTCGGGTGGTGGAATTTCAGCATCCATACAAGTTATGCGTAGACATATGTATCATTGGGTCTTCCCCCCTTAATTTCTAGGTAGTGTTGGAAAAACGCCGCAAATTCTGATTGACAAAAGAGGGAAACTCTCCTCCCAGTCGGTTAGAATGCACTCTTGCCTCACCACCCTAGCTCAACAGCACTGTCCATGTCCACATTATGGACTCATACTGTCAGAGTTCTCCTGTGCAAGTACCGATCACTATCAACACTGGCAGTAACTTTGCCACTGGACAGATCCGCTCCTTCAGAGTCCCACTTTGCCAGTCTCTACGCCGAGCCTCCTGAAGTCATCAAGTTCCCACTCTATGGCCAACCTCTTGAAATCACCAAACCGGTCAATAGTTACCTTCGATGGATCTCCCACATTGCCTTGGACGCGAATCTTCTTCAATGCCGGCAAATTCCCATCTTCCAGCAAATTGATGAGGACACCTAGGTTAGCTATCGATCTTGTTTCTATCTCCGGATCGACCGCGAGGAATGTATCGTTATAATCTAAAACCGTGATTGTATGGAGGTGTGGATGTCGCATGATTGTAAAGAATTCACGGAATTCACCCGGGATACGAAGAATGAGATGCGTGAGGTTGGGCAGTGCTTGAAGCATTTGCGCAAGACTTTCCAGGGGGGGTTCACCCCATCCTATGTCTAGGGAGGAGTAGCTGAAATCGAAGCTCGCTAGGTGTCTTCTGTGCTTGAACAGAAAGAAGGATATCGATTCTTCTTCATGCAGGTTAGGGAAATAGGGTAGACCCAAGTGTCGCAGGGCAGGTAGTGCCCAAGACGCGAGCTCGGAGGAGACACAGTCGACCATATCTTCTAGGCGAAGGGGATGAAGATTAGACAGCACGACATCACCCTGTAGAATATTTTTCGTGTCGTTCCGATCTGCTTGATCTGCTTGATCTTGCTGCCGAATACAGCCGGGCATAAAAACACTTGAAGTCCGTGCAGCCCCTTGAGTAGGGCCAGGAAAGCTGTAGATTCGATATCGACATTCACTGAGGTCTCCAACTCTCGCAGGCTTCCTCCAAGTCGATTGGCGATGTTATGAACCAGAACTAACGGCATGCTAACATCACGGTCGCGGTATATCGTCCCTTGAGTCTGGAACACGACGGTGTATGAACGGCAGGGAACTATTCGCAGTATGATGATATTGGGACAAACATCGAGAAAACCCCACAGCGTCGAGTCGATATCATGCAACTCGGTTTCCATGTGATCGAGGTCGCATTGAAGGATGAGTAACTTGACCCAACCGCCCCGAAATCTGCCGTCCGTCCCTCGTTTGCCTAATAGCTCCACAAGAGATTTGATACGTGAAGACCGATACACGACGACCGCTTCGTACAAGAATTCATCGACGAGATAATGAAACCATGTTGAAACCAGACTGAGTGCGAGTTTGGTAGGAAGGACCTCTTCGAGCCTTTTCCTTGCTCAGGGGCCGGGTGGATAGGCGGTTTGTTCTCGAGTCGTATTCGGTATCGAACAGCCCGGGTATGGAAGTCGCCAGCCGTAGGATGGTTTGAACCAGCTCAGTAGGTAGGGCACTGAACGACATAAGGACGTTTGTGTCTCTCCGTAGCGATGATAAACAGCTGAAAGAGGTTCGTTTTTGACGATCCGTGAGACGCGGAGATATTTAGAAGGGAAAACGGATGCGCTACGATGCTGTCGCCTGGTCAATGGCAGGGCAATACGGAGGACGCGCACCGGTTTGCTTTACCCATGCATGTAATCGTATATCTGCCGCAGGCAGATGAAGGCACCTTTAAGGATAGGCAGGCAAGAGGTCGAGAGAAGATATGTAGGTGTAGAAGAGTGGGGTGAACATCGGCGCAAAGGTGTAGGGGTGGTATGAAGGAAGGAGGGGTAAGTGTATGCGCGGTAGAACGCCTGTCATGTTGACGAGACCGGAAGGATATTGGATCCTGACGAGATGTTAATGTTATTGCCTTATCTCCTTCGTGTTGACAGACAGCAGAGCTGGGGCATTATAATAATACAGCGGCTGGCGTGGACGTAGGGAGAAGGGGCGCCGTATCAGGGCTCCAACGCACCAACCGGCCCTGAATTGAGAAGCATTTATTCTAAGTTCCTTGGATGCTCGATAGACGCGATTTGACTTGTATAGGACACTCGCATATCTCCAATATCTCTGATACAATAACTGGATCTGCCTTCAGGTTCCAACTCCTTGGAGTACAAATGGCGTTGCGTTCAATCTACCACATCTGACGAAACTACTTCGGTATGCTCATCATCTCCATCTCCACCCCCAGCCGCTTGAACTGAGCATTATGGTCCATATCCCTCAGAGATAGTTGCTCTGGAGAGCATTGTGCTCGTATCTTCGTCAAGGCTGGCAATCTCCTTTTATCCAGCGCTTCGCCGACTTTCTTCAGGTCTGTAACCTTGGCGTCTGCTGAGCGGAATGCGGACCAAAAGCAATCATAATCGACAGCCGTAATAACGCGAAGTTGCTGATGTTCCAAAACTTGGATAAATTCATCAAGTATGTCCGGACGAGGAATAGTAAAATGGGTGAGGTTGGGTAACACCTGAAGAATCTGAGCAAGGCTTTCGCAGGGATGGAAATCCGAAGGGTCATCATTGTATTTGAGTAAGAACTCAAAGCTGTTTATACTCTGTGCTCGATTGAAAAGCTGGAGGAAGGCGCGAATGTGTCCGTCGACGTCGCCGCCATAGTTTACCCCCACGTGTCGTAAGGCAGGTAAGGGCCATGAAGCAAGCTGGGATACGAACCAATCTCTGGAATCGATCCGAAGCGTATGGAGATGGGGGAGGAAGGTAGTAACTGGCAGGCCGGGGGGTTCATCCAGCCTTTCCACATTCCCTTGGTCCGGTTGTTCCTTCCCCTTGAGAAGCTGTGCGCCAGACATAGAAAAGATGCAAAGTGCAGGCAGACCTTTCAGCAGAGAGAAGTGGGTCGTGGCCAACAACATCATATTCACCGCTATGTCCAGCTCTCGCAATCTTCTTCCAAGGAGGTTCGTGATGTTGTGAATTAGGGTGAGAAGGATGTCCTGGTTGTACAGACGGAGCAGCGGTGTTCCGTGCCAGGCGTTGTACAACGTCCAGGGAATCAATCGCAAGACAATAACATTGGGACATACATCCAAAAGCCCCCAGAGAGTCGGATGGAACTCCTTGAGATCGGAGTGCGGGTCGAATTGAAGAGTCAGTGACTTGAGCATGCGACCGCGAACTCGGCCTTCTGTGTCGCGTCCGCTGAGCAAATCAACCAGGGGCTTGACTCGAGCAAAGTGATAGATGATCACAGCTTCGTACAAAAACTCGCCCACCAGGGAATGCAGCGATTTCGAGACCACACTGAGCGCGAGTTTGGTAGGGAGCACCGCAGTGAGCTGTAAGCGTTGTTTCGTCGCTCGGTGGACATGACCGTCAATCGGATCGAATTCGGTATCGAACAGTCCGGGTACTTCCGTCGCGTACCTGAGAATCCTCCGGACCAACTCGACGGGTAGCGTATGGAGCGACATGATGTTGCTTTCTCTTGTGAGCGAGAGTGGTCATACGCCTGAGTGAGTATAGACAAGAAAAGTAGTAAGTAGCGTGTACCTTAACGCGGATCGGAGGCAAAAGACCCTACTTTTACCAAATGTAGAAAGACCTTGATAACAAACCAATGCCCATAGCATTGCTAAAATAAATCATTCTCTTAGTTTAAAAAATATGATATTATCACCCTACCACCAACCCTAACCCTAACCCCTACCCCACCCTAACCTGCTGGATGGGATCCTAGCCAGTACCCTAACACCACCTCTTGCCAATGACTCGACATTTGTTTAACTCTGTTTTGACTGTCTATGCTTATATAAATACACTCCCGCGCATATCGTACATCCAACTCTGACTTACTTTCCCCGCATCCGCAAAGGGGAACTACAAGTTCGGCTTCTCCTCGTCTTTGACGCGAGGCGGCGGCTGTTTGCCCGCTTTAGCAGCGCCGAAGTACTGTACCTACAGGGATCGTTCAGTTCATGACCGGGAGTAGCTGTGAAGGTAAGAGGGGCAGGAGGAATCGGCTCACCATCTCAACCTCCTTTTCCCAAAACCCACACTTCTCGTAGAACCCCACATTATCCCTCGCACAATCTAATATGACCTTATAGCATCCTAGCCCCTCCGCTAAGCCCGTAAGCGTGGTGATGAGAAGTTTTCCGAGCCCGCGACCCTGTGCGAGAGAGGAGACAGCGACGTCTTCTATATGCCCGACGAGGCCGCCAGAGCGGAGGTGTTTCCGTTCCAGCAGGAGAGTGGAGGTAGCCAGAATCTGGGACGTAGGGACGGAGAGAATCACGATGGTATAGTATCTTCTCTGTATCAGCACGTGCTGCCCAATAGGAAAACGAACGCACGTCTCCGGCCTACGGGCCATATCATCAAATATGGCATGATACGCGTCTGGTGTGATGTCCGGTGTGGGGGAAAGGACGTTGAGCACCTGCATATGCCCATGAAGATGGTCGTCCCTCTCCAACGAGCGAATAAGAAGGTCTGCAGCAAGGGAAGGAGGAGGGGGAGGGAGTAGATGGGCGGGGAAGAGGGGAGTGGACATGGTCGTTGAGTGTTCAGTTGGGTCTGGGAAAGGCTGATGCGCTCAAGTTGGTATGACGCGACTGGAATGTGGGCTCCTGTGGCTGTGCGAGATAATCCGGTTCTCCGACGGTTCGAAGGGGTCTTGGTGACTTTCTGTTGCAAACACGACTGCGGTTTGATCACGACGTGTGCAAGTGTATGCTCTCCTCCCCCTGAGGCAGTGGCCACCTCTCCCCACGCCCATATTCTCCCGCTGCTGCCCCGCCACGCCCAGCGACGCGTGCCGCGTCCACCCCGCACGCTGTCCCCCAAAGCCCAACGGCGGAAGATGATGCCTACGCCCACCCTCCCAAACAGGCTCTTCCTCTCCCTCCTCTCCCTCCTCGCACTCTACACAGCTTACTACATCGGCACTCTCCGCCCTACACCTCTTCCCCATGCACCAGAGTACGCCTCCACTCACCCCAACGCCGCCCGCATACCCTTCTACGTCCCTCCTTCCCTTATCCCTTCCTCTCCCTTACCACCTTCTTCCTCCCTCCCTCCCTGCCCCGATCTAGCACTCAACACCAGCGCCTTCCCTAAACCGGAAAAGGGCAACCTCGTACCCCCTCTTGTGCATACCATCTACCATCTCTCGGGCGACCACCCCCCGGAACTACCGTACTTCCACTACCTCGCTCTCCGATCTGTGCTCCTCTCTCTCCGACCCAAACACATGCTGCTGCACCACCACCACGCATCTGCTCCACACGGGCCGTACTGGGACCTCCTAGCACCGCATATCACCCTCTCCCCTCTAACCCCACCACAAGAAGTGTACGGCCATCCACTCGCCCATTTCGCACACAAGGCCGACGTTCTCCGTCTCCAGCTGCTCATAGCCTATGGAGGGGTATACGTCGACATCGATACCTACGTTCTGCGCTCCTTTGACCGCGCGGGATTATACACCCAAGACGTCGTGCTGGGGATGGAGATGAGCCCGGATAGCAGGCGTACATCACTCGAGCCCGGAGGACTGTGTAACGCCGTGATCGTAGCGAGGAGCGATGCACCATTTCTGAAGCGGTGGTTAAAGAGCTACGAGACCTTTGACGGTAGTGTCTGGGCAGGACACAGTGTGGCCAAATCATGGGTGCGCACCCTCTTATATGCGCCTTTGCACCTGCATGCTCACGCATATACGTAGGAATTGGCACTCCTCCACCCAAGGGAACTCACGGTCCTCTCACACCGAGCGATGTTTTACCCTCTATGGCGAGAGGAGGACATCGACTGGGTACATAAACCTTCGAAAGCAGGAGCGGAGGGTGGTTGGGAGTTCTTCAAGAGTGGGCAGTTGACGTGCGTCCGTTTCTCCGGCTTTCTATTGCGCTTCTTTGTTTGTTCGTTTCTGGCTACCGTTTCCCTCCCCTACTTCGTTTTGGCCCCTGAGCAACCCGACACTGATGTTCTTTCATAGTTATCATGCGTGGGAGTCGTTGGCTATGCAGTACCTTGGTCCCATGACGCCTTCCTCGGTGCTGAAAGGCGAGACGAGCTTCACGAGGATGGCGCGGGCGTTCGTAGGGCCCGAAGACGGAGCAGTAGAGAAGTTGCTCAAGGAGAGGGAGGGGAGGGGAGGGTAGAGCAGTGGTCACGCGGTGGTGGACATAGATGGAAGGTGGGTATATGCGCCTCATGTGTTCCTCGCTGGGAGATGGGATATCATTTACGCTGTATTTATAACATTGTGGATGGACGTGAGGATCGATTCCCATACACAGACTCCGACATCTCGTGCTGACGTAAACAAGCAGCGATGAGGTATCGCCTCCACGATAATACTTCCCTTCCTATCTCTCAGTCACAGCACTCAGCTCCGCTTGGCAACAACGACCACCTTGTTTTAACGAACAAGCGCGAACAAGAGCATGTCGTTCAACACACTACCTATCGAACTGGTCCATAAGATCCTCAGACACGCGACCGACGTACCTGGGCTCCTCGACACCTCATACGAGGCCGCGCACTCCTCCCCTCTTAGAGCAACCGAACAGCGGATAGAGCTCCAACAGACCTACCCAACAAGATGCGCTCTTACCCTCGTTTCCAGGTCGTTTTGTCGTCTCGCCCAGCCGATCCTGTACGAAGTAGTCGTGGTGTGGAACGGCGACAGAATCGAACCGCTCCCGGACGACGAATTTCCCTCGGACGATGAATTTCCCTCGGACGATGAATTGCCCTCGGACGATAGATTGCCCTCGGACGAGGAATTGTCCTCACACGCTAAGAAAGTCGATCTTCTCGTTACACTCCTCAGCAAATGGGACGCTTCTGGTGAACGGCCTCTTGGGCACCACGTCAAGTTGCTTATCTTCAGCTTCAAGTACGATTATTGGTATTACCTTCGTTACACTCAATCGTACCCCACACTCTGGGGATTCCTTGATGTATGTCCCAATCTGATCATGTTAAGGCTGAGTCCTGGCTCAGTGTACGACGATCACTACCCATACGAAGATCGTGCAGATATCGAAGACGGTTTCTTCATTACCAATGAATTAGGCGAAAACATCACGCAGAAGCTTGGAAGAAGTCTACTAGAGCTGGAATTCTCAAGGCATATCGAACTCGAAAGTTCTTGTCTCCTGTCATTGCTGAAAGGGCTTCCCGCACTCAGAATTTTCTCGACGTACGGCACGGTCTTGAACGATTCGAGATCAGAGATCACCGAGGATACAGAACAGACAGACGATGTCTATTTGCAAAATCTCCACACCATTCGCATGGACGAACTCGAAGACTTCTCATCCAAGCTCTATTCATGCGCACCTCCAGCTTTACGACACCTGGGCGTGCCCGTGTTCGACAGCATAAAGAACGACCTATTGTGTCCCCCTTTCTCTCCAAACACGCAACAAGACTCGTCAGCTTGGAATTCATGATGTACTTCCCAGTCTCCATAAACAGGGGACTGAACCTAACAATTCCTCCCACATTTCAATCACTATCCTGCCTCGCCAGCCTCATTTTCCACGGTCCGAGCCAGATTGCAGAGGTTATCACATGCACCCACTATCCCTGCCTTCGTGTGATCACTATTATGGACTATTACCTTGAATGCGTCGAAGGCTTTCTGGTACAGGGATCATCGCACGGAGAGCTCAAAATTGCGATTGAAGCATTGGATCAAGGACGGTTGCCTGCTTTGGAGAAAATCCGTTTGTGGAGTATCAGAGACCCCTCTCAGATGACGGTCTCAATCGAATATATCGATGACTTCAAGCGGCATGGAGTAGAGTGGGAGTTTCTACAGATACCTGATAAGCTGGGATATGCATGATCATGGCGTCAGAGCAGGAGTATGGTTAACCAGAGTGTCGAGTGCTGAATTAGTTTTCTAGTCGTTGCCGCTCTTTCATCACCATGAGCAGACTTGATCCGCTTCCCTGTATGAACAAGTCAGACTCGCACATTAACACTCCATCAAGAATGCCATAATATGGCTCAACATTGTGAAGGAAGTAGCCCGACTGGTAGACACAGAATTTGATCCGACCCGCACCACGGTATTGTGCGGTATGTGTGGCTTCATCCAATCCTTAATTTGCGTTCCCACCGTTGAAACGAACAAGGGTTAGGGTTAGTGTTTCTAGCATCTAGGGTAAGGGTTGAAAACCGGTTTCCACAGAAGACGAGTTGCTTCGGAACTTGTGTTCGATAATTGCGATCACAACGTCCAGTCCTCTACTAGTAACCGCTGAGGCAAAGAACAACAAGTTCATGTCGCTCACCAATCTGCCCATCGAGCTCGTTCAGAAGATCGTCAGGCACGCAACCGAAGTACCTGGGCTTTTCGACACCGCATATGACCCGATCTCCGATCCCCACTGCCGGGGTGTGCAATGCCGTGATAATGACCCATTTTGGACGAAGATCGACCACAGAGAGGACTTCGAACGGCTCGGTGTAGAGTGGGAGGTCGAAAGTGCGGAAGAGTGGCTATGTCAAATGTTCCTTAACGTGGCTTGATAGACAAACTGAAAGCACTTCCGTACGTAGAAGGGGCACTCCCACAGAGACGATGTTGATCGATTGGCGCAGTACATCATGTTTGGCATGTCCGTTCCTAGCATTTCTCCTGGCTGGAAGACGGCATACACCCGATTCCTGACTACGTCCAGTCGCAGTCATGCAGGAAAGATTTGGCGTCGACCGCCCAAATTGGACATCGAATCGGGTTTTGCCCGATCTAGAATTGAATCAAGGGAGGGAATTGATAAGGTGTTTCTTCGAGGTCGCTGTAGGTAAGATTATTTATGTCATGGAAAACGATAAACTGTATTGATCCTCAAGCAGGAGACCTTTAACGGTGCTTTACACCATGACAAGCGGAGGAAGTGCATTTCATTCATTTAACAACGGCATTTGCCATGTCAACAAGCAGTCTTTGCAGTGAAGCTAGTTGAGTATATGTCCAGCGAGTCGTTATGTACCCATACGTTTTCACTTCTTGGTGTCTTTTCGATACAAAGCAGCGAAGATTAGAAGTACTCGCCATGTCCAGCTGATAAGGAAAGTGTCGCGATATTTCCGATAAAAGCCTCCGTGTTCCTCCATCTCTCGCACTACTAGTAGGCGCGTGCACGGCATCGTCGGATCCCAACTGTCCTCCTGCACACCTGATCCGACCAGCAGATCTTTTCACACTCTACTGCCATGAGTTTGCCATATCCATGTGTTATGAAAATAGCTGTCGGGGTGTACTATATGGCGCTTGTCGGCTGTCTTAAACGTGGTCCACACGACTTGGATTTTAGGCCCCCGCTCTTGTTCTAACTCTGACCCTTGCTCTGTGGTTGCCATCTCCCCTCAGTCTCTGCTTTGCGCTCTCTGGTTTTGACCTCTGACTGCGAATTGCGTGGTCTATCCCAACCCGATATACGACGTTTGAAGATGCTGGTTATAAACTGCAAAGGTACCCCACGGGAGGTGAGCTCTTCTTCCTCATGCTACTTCTCACCCAAACCCCACAACTCCCACTCGACATCCTATTGCCGATTTCTCTTGCACTCACACTCCCTACTGCCATTGCCCTTCCCAGTCCGCTCTCCCGTCACTCATGTTGACCCTTTGTCTCTCCTAGATCGGTCTCGAACACGGCACCAAAGCCGCCACTCATATACGTGCCGGTATCCAGTGCTACCAAACCCAATTCATGGAAATGTCGAACGTAGGGTGGGAGGAAGTGCTCCGCATTAGTAAGAGGTTCGAACCCGCGATGCGGGAGAGATATCCTTGGCTTATGGAAGAGATCGAGGGTGCGCATGCTCCTGCTGAGAGGGAAACGTCGACATTGACGTTCGGACAGCGATCGCGGAAGGCGCGGGCGTCTCGTATCTCGAGATAATGGCACTCAACTTCAGGCAAGAGATCATATTCGGCATGTATGCGGACGGGTGCACTTCCTTAGGCTGGAAGACGTCTGAGAAGAGCTTCTTGTCTCAGAACTGGGATGTACGCCTCCTGCTTGGACTATGGAATGAGATGAGTCTGATGAATTTGGGTTGATGGTGCAGTGGTTGATCGACCAGAAGGACAACGTTATTGTGCTTAACATCGACGCGCCTGGGAAGCCGAGGATAAGCATGGGAACCGAGGCGGGGATTATCGGCAAGATCGGTGCGTCTTCTCGTTTAAGTAGCACTGAGTATGTACCAACATCGGAACTCAGGTCTCAACTCTGACGGGGTCGGTGTATGCGCCAACGGGATCCGTGCCAAAGGCGTGGACTATAACGGCACCCCTGTACACATCTGTCGCAGGCTTGTGCTCGAAAGCCAGACTCGAGACGAGGCGATCGCAAAGATCGAGAAATACGGAACAGCCGCGGCGGGACATATGCTCGTTGGAGACGCTACTGGCTGTATCGGGTTGGAGTGTACCATCCAGGGGATCAAGAAGCTTTACCCCGACTCAAAGGGCCGTATCATGCACACCAACCATCTGTTGGCGGAGCATGAGGGCGTGGTCGACTATCAGTGGCTGGAGGACAGCCCTAGGCGTCTTCGCCGGCTGACGGAACTCGCCAACGAGCTAGGCCGCAACCCAACCCAGGTCGAGATTTCCGAGCTGTTCAAGGACGAGTCCGATCTACCCTGCGCGATTAACCGAATCCCGTCGAAGGAGGAACCGATGGAGACTTTGTTCAATATCGTTATGGATCTGACTACCGCTACCGCAGTGCTCAAGTTTGGACGTCCTACTCAGCCTGATGACGTGCTCATCCTTGCTCCTTGAGGCGGCGGCGCTGTTGGTCGTGCTGGTTCCGATACCGAACGGAATGCTTGGATTGACACCATCTGGTTGTCAATAGATGACAGGTAGCGGCCGGTGCAAAGTCTTGAGTGGATGATTTCTGGTCTATTCCGAGCAACTGACTCTGTTAGAATAAGAAAGAATAGATGGGTCTTTTACACTACCTCGCTCGGTTTTTCATTGTCATCTGGTGCGACTGTTCTCCAACTCTAGGATCCATCGCACCTTGCGCACCTCGCTTGGTGAAGAGGCCACCACTGGCTCCCCGGCCACCCAAGATTCATAGAAGATAACGGGTGCGGCATGCTTCCATTGGAGTCCAGATCAACCCCAAGATATCACCCCTGTATCGGCGGATCATGGGCTGGGCCTGTGCGGCTGTGTCAAATGAAAAGGTACAGGTCTCTGTGATATGCAGCATGACACTTTTTTTGTCCGAACATGGATCCCCAGAAAGAGAGGGATGCGACGGCAAAGAAAGTATATTTTGAGCTCGTAAGTCCGACAAGAGCCATGAGCACCAGTGCGGACGCTGCTATTGGTGGAGAACAACACATGTCCGTGCACAGGTCTTCTTGTTTCCATGTCTCGCCAGCACCAACAGTCTGGGAAGCTCTTTGTGACACTTTCTTTGTCTTCACGACTTTCAGGTTCTTTCATTTTGCAAGATCCAAACCTTTTCGTGCCCATTGCAGCCTCCACAGCTGCGCGCTTGATCCTGCTCTGCGATGTTAGTCTCCACCACCCGGCATCGCCTCCCACTGAGCTCGTTGTGATGAACGCTGAACGGGACTTGGTAGGTTCTCGATCACTCAACCCAGCAAATTAGCCATAACTGTCATCTGAGTAGGCCAGAGGCAATTTCACGTTGTGCCACCTTGGTGCCATAGGACTTGGGGTCAATGATGGCAATGAGGTAGGCTTCCATCAAGCTGGTATAAAATGCACCCTCAATCCCTATGACTAGCAGTCATCTACCCTTCCCGACCATCGCGAAGCTGTTGTCTCGACGCTGCATTGGATATATTGTGATGGATACTAACTCCAGTTCCTTCATGATGATAATGAACCGAGAGCTTTCTCCCCGTGAGGTGTTTCTAGCTTATCCTTCATTCTCTATCGTGCATGATCTCATGTTGCTTAGATCGGCCTCGATCAAGGCGAGGCCGTTGCCAATCGTCCCGACTCTTTTGTACTCGATATGCCCTTAGAGGTTGGCAATCACTCCCACGGTCCCAGCTTTGTGCCCTTTCTTATACCTGCTATGAACAACCCTCGGAACCCGGACCTTCCCACCGTTTTGAACGCGCCCAGCACCACAATCAACTATTACCACAATTCGGGCATCGTCACCATCACTCAGCACACCATAAAGTCTCACAATCAGTCTAAAGCGAACAACAGGCGCGACGATCACAGTCAACATATCGAAGCCAATACCACTGGTGGGAGCTTCGATTGGTGGGGATTACTGAAGAGTGTTGTATCTGCCCTGACCTGCGGTGCCGTTCCCAGTTTATAACACGTGGCCGAGCGGTACAAAGGGAGAGATACGCCGATCTGTAATATACTGCTTTGTTCAGAAGAATTTCGCCCTAGACATGTAATAGATATACTGAATGAAAGTTGCTCGCACTGAATTTCTTGTTTGTGAAGCACGAGTGACTGATCATGTGACCTCAATCGCGTCACGCGATGGTCGACAGGGACTAGTGATTCTTGCAGAGCACTAATGCACTAATGCTTGTTGTCTGGTTTTCGCATCTCGAGCGTCAATACCCGTGTTTGACGATGAGCTGGGCGGTTTGACTATAGGCGCTCTCTTCTTCCATCCAGAATCCCTCTGTCCCGTCGCCCGAACTTGAACAAAGCACAAACTCCGCATCTCGAGTTGGCGCTAGCAATAGCTACACCGACCCAAGTTTGCCCATTTCAAGTAAGAACTGGGTGGTACCAGGTCCTTGACATTGTGAAGGGTCTATGAAGCGGATACAAGGGGGCAAAGATTGGCCGCTGGAGGAGATTGAGGTGCACGCGTCTCTCATCGTCGTATCGCTAATGCGATCAGACCTCTCAAGCCGATGCTGATGCTTTCCCAGCAATCGCGAAAGGCGCGGGCGTATCATATCCCCATGTGCCTTCCCTGTACTATACTTAAGCAATCCGTTTGCGCGCATATATGCCAACATGCATCCTTCCGTATGCTTCAAGATGTCAACAAGGGCAAGATGTCCCCCCAGAGCGTCCTCCCCAAACTGGCATGTACGTCCCTGTTTAGCTAGGAGTCCGTTGTCAGTCAGCTGATAAATTGGGTTAGTTGGTGTAGTGGCTGATTTGATAACTAATTAAGTAGTCCATTAGAAGAACCAAGTTGTCATGCTCGATAGCGATGCGCTTGAGGAGCTGACCATACACGTGAGGACCGAGGCGGGGATCATCACCAACATCGCAGGTGCCCTTCTTCACATGGATCCAGCACGAAGTTAACTGAACGTCTGCAAGCTTACCACACCATCGTATAATACCTCGGAAACTTCCGTCGATTGCGGAAGAAGAATCCCACAGACGACAGTCCTTGAGCCCCAACGATGACTGTGACCCTCAAATCTTCCATGTACACCACATTACTCAAAGGTGCCTTGCGATCACGATCTCTCTCCATGCATCCTAGTGCGCATTCCTGGACAAGATATGCCCATTGCAGGTCGAGCTCTGAAATTGCACTCGTCTCCGCCGGATGAAGCCTTCCCGTGTTCTACGACCTTTCCTCTCCTACCTCCACTGCGTCGGGCCTGGGATGCCATGGTTCAGTTCTGACCCCCTCTCCCGGATACAACACCGGACGATGTCTAGGCTCCTGCCCATACAGTCTCCCCCACATGCCCTTGGCCAACGCCTGCCGTGCGAATTAACCCTATTCATACGCGATGAAAAATGAAAGCAGCCACAATATATGCCGGCTCTCGACCGCGGTGGTGTCACCTGGTATACCCTGGTTAATGCAAGTTTCAAGATTTCTGCCTTGGCTCTACAACGTCTAACTTCGACCTTCGGCCCCCGTCTTTGACAACTGGCAATGCTGATTATTAATTGTCAAGGAACCCCACGGTAGGTACGCCCACCTTCCCTATCCGCCTGCACCGTCGCCCTCGCTGCCTCCTCATGATCCCCTGCTCACGCCGACCCTTATCCCCCTCCCAGATCGGCCTCGAACACGGTACGACAGCCGCCATCCAAATTCGCTCTAGTATCCAATACTACCAAGCCCAATTCTTGAAGATGTCAAAAGTGGGTTGGGAGGAAGTGCTCACCAGTGTCAAGATGTTTGAGCCGGTAATGCGAGAGAGGTATTGTTGGCTTATGGAGGAGATCGAAGGTGAGATTCCATCTTGCATCAACGTGTAGATCAGACTTAACACGCGAATACTGACGATGTGACAGCGATCGCTGAAGGCGCAGGCGTGTCGCATCTCGAGATAATGGCGCTCAACTTCAGGCAAGAGATCATATTCGGCATGTATGCCGACGGATGCACTTCCCTAGGCTGGAAGATGTCTGAGAAGAGCTTCCTGGCTCAGAACTGGGATGTATGTCCTCCGTCCCCCTTTGCCGCCCGTGGGGAGAAGGAGCTGATAAGTTTGCGTTGGGTTGATGGCGCTAGTAGTGGTTTGTGGAACAGAAGGACAACATTATCCTTTTCAATATCGACGCCCCTGGGAAACCTAGGATAAGCATGGTTGCCGAGGCAGGAATTATTGGCAAGATCGGTGCGTCCTCAAGTGTACCTGGCTTTGAGTGCTCTAGTGTTCAGAGAGAAACACAGGACTCAACTCCCGCGGAGTCGGGGTATGTGCAAATGGGATCCGCGTGAGAGGAGTCGACTATAACGGCACACCCGTGCACATCTGTCGCAGGCTCGTGCTCGAGAGCCTTACGCGGGATGAGGCAATCGCCAAGATCGACAAATATGGGGCCACGGCGGCAGGGTATATGCTCATTGGGGATCCGACTGACTGTATTGGGCTGGAATGTACGACGCAGGGGATCAGAAAGCTCCACCCGGATGCGAAGGGGCGAATCATGCACACCAACCACCTGTTGACCGAACATGAGGGTGTGTTTGAGTACCACCGGGATGGTAGCCGCCTGCGCCTTGAGCGGCTCACAGAATTGGCCAACGAGCTAGGCCGAAACCCAAACCAGGTCGAGATCTCCGAATTGTTTAAGGACGAGGCCAACTCCCCGAGCTCCATCAACCGTGAAGTGTCGCAGAAGAACCCATTAGCGTCTTCAATATTCTTATGGATCTGAATACGGCGACTGCGATACTCAAGCTTGGACGTCCGACTGAACCCGCCGATATACAGATCCTTACCCCTTGAGGGGATTCATCCATGTCCATTGCGCGTACGTACCGAATGAGTAATCCGCCTTTGCAGGGAATGTACTGTGCCGCAAGAGCAGTGCGAACCCGTGGTCTTCTTGTGCTGCTTGCAATTGTATGTTCTATCCTGCAACAAATTGTCTGCTCGTATGTTGGACATTGTTCTGGGGTTGTGAGGAGACAATGACAACAAATCAATAGGTTATTGCCATTCTTGAGCGTGTCTAGTGGCCCTGCCGAGGGGATGGTGATGCGAATGCACAGGAAGTTGACAGGAACATGGACTAAGCTGAATGAAGCCAATGCATGTTCAGTAGCGTGTTTTCGGACTCGGCCTGGAACGATCCCCCGCCGTTTAGGCAGCGACTTCGACGATCTGGTACTATCCTTTCTTCTGGAACATTCTAGACTTGAACACGGACAATTCTTTCCTTGAAGTGCCATAAGGAGAAGTTCCAGGAACACACCACACCAAGATCCCTCGGAACCCGCGCGGCATCCGAGTACCAAAGAATCTGGAGGAAAAGACTGCTCAGACCCCGACCCTTGAAGCTCTGTTATCTCGACATTGAGCATGCTTTGCCTCGGTGATGATGCATACAACAGACGTGAGAACATGATGGACACATAAGTGCTACGTACGCCAGTTGCGTGTCTGATAGTCGATTACCCGAGCCTGCGGCCAAATACTCCTCAACGAAGCTCGTAAGTCAATAAGCGGTCTCCAACGGGCGCTAGGGGTAGGAGCACAACCGACGGTCGGAGAAGTGATGTGATGTTCGAGTCGGACGGGGAGGTGGAGCCCGGTTACGAATACTAACCACAACAGCGTAGCACAAGGACTACTAATAAACGTGCCCAAACCTTGCCAACGATGTGAGAAGGGTAGATCTCGACCAACGGTTATCTGCAGAATTAGGTCCAAGGAAAGATGGGCATATTCCCGACATTGTTCGACCATGCTATTTGTTTTGTATTGTTATCTCAAGACCATACGTTGATGATTAGCCGGCGCTGATGGGAAGCGGCTTGTCGAACCACACCAACATCGTGTTTCGATAAACATCACGTTCAAATCTCTCCGATTTTTTGGGGAATCACTAACCCTCCTTGCGCGTGTACAGTTATCTGCTTCGAACAATTCATTCCCTCCTTCAATTGGAGCTTCTACAACGTAATTTATTTGGTTGGGGGAGCCATGAACCTCGTTTCCCCAGCTTATGTCCAGCGCGTCCATAGGGAAGCGTGCGGGTCCGGGACATGGGCTGTCTGATGCCCTACATCGACTGTTGGGCCGCGGACTAGAAGCTTAAATCTCCCGAGAGCGGGGAAATATTGCTGATCACGCCCCTTCCCTCCACGTAGAGGAAGGTGGGATGGCTGTCCGAGTATTTGGGAAGGCAGCCGATGGAGGCGGCAGGATGGAAGAGTGGTGAATCTGTGTTATCACCTGCCCGATGTGTATTGTGTGCTCGACAATCAGGTGCTGTGGTAGGAGCGACGCTGGTATGTCCTGCAGGTCACCTGTGCGGCGGACCATGAGACTTCAAGCCCCGGTGGGGCTGTGCGAAAAGACAGGTTTTCGGGCCGAGTGATGCACAAATGATTGGTCCAGGGTGTTTCAAACTCCATGGAGCTGAGAGCTTGTTGCGGAGGATTAATGTAACTTCTTTATCTCATGGAAGACGCCCGGGATTTGGCCCGGGGGTTCGAAGAAGAGGTACGAAGGGTACAGCTTGCATCTCGGCCGACCGCTGTTGATGGGGGCCTTTTTTACAGGGGCCAGATACGGACCCGATCTTGTTCTGCTTCAGTTGTGGTACCTCAATTTTGTCTGGCGTTTCGTCGTGTATTGGAAATCCGTTCTCCGCTATTGGCGGAGAATTGGCTGAGACGTGTCAGGGCCACTGCTTTGGGACATCACAGGCAGAGATTGACTCTCGGCGCATGCACTTCGCGTGGTGGTCTTCGTTGTTTTGATTTCACCTGCAAGCCGAACGCCCTGGGAAGCGCTCGACCTTGAACCGGTCTATTTACTTTGTGATTAGTATCTTCTTCCATTGTTAGAATCCACTTCGCGCGCCTGGTTCTGGTCGGCGTTGTCGGGTAAACAGCTTTCATCAGCGCGCATCGCATCCTATTTGGCTCTCTGTGACGAACACGTACCAGCGCGACTGACTGACTCCGTGATCCGATTATCCTCGAGCGTGGTGCGAGCGCGACCGTCGCCTGACTGGGCGGAACAGCCGAGACTAGTGGGGGTTCCAAAATACATTACCGTCCGCCGCGTGCGCTCTCAGTTCCGAACAACCTAGACATCAACAGACCTTTCATGTGGGGGCTCAACGTCTGGGTATATATATCCCTCTATAATGCCCTTCGAGCGGCAGCGATCTTTCCCGCTCCCCCGACTTTCAATTATTCCCCATCCCCTTGTCTCACCAAGACTTTCGCATCCGCGACACTCCACATTCATACGCACCCATGCACACGACCTCTAATTCCCCCCTGTTGGTCATCAACTGCAAGGGTTCTCCACGCGAGGTATGTATCCCTCGCTGGTGCGGTTCCTACGTGATTTCTCACATTCGTTTGCTAGATCGGTCTTGAGCATGGCACCAAAGCTGCGGACAAGATCAAGCGAGGAATCGAGTATTACAAGGGCGAATTCATGAGGACCTCCGACTTGCCATGGGACAAAGTATGCGATCTCGCCATGAAATTCGATCCCCAAATGGAGGAGCGTTACCCCTGGCTGAAAGAAGAAATGCAAGGTAAGTTGTCCGGTCACGCCCACAGCCTGAACCAACATGCCAATACGTTTGTGTTTCATCAACAGCTATCGCGGACGGCGCCGACGTGAAGTACACTGAAGTCCTCGCCCTCAACTTCCGCCAGGAGGTCATCTTTGGGATGTACGCTGACGGATGCACCTCTTTGGCCTGGAAGACCCACGAGACGAGCTTCCTTGCACAGAATTGGGATGTACGCACTTCAAGCTCGGACCGTGTCTCTCCAGATTTGATGTTCTCCCTTGTGGTCTGATCCAGTGGATGATTGAACAAAAGGACAACGTGATCGTGCTTAACATTGACGCCCCCGGAAAACCCCGAATCAGCATGGGCACCGAGGCTGGCATCATTGGCAAAATCGGTGAGGTGGCAATCCCGTGCGCATGGTTTCAGCTGCTGACACGGAATATAGGTCTCAACTCCTCGGGGGTTGGCGTGTGTGCGAACGGGATCCGCGTGAAGGGCGTGGATTACAACGGTACTCCCGTACACATTTGCCGCCGCCTTGTACTCGAGAGCGAGACGCGAGACGAGGCGATCGCCAAGATCGAGAAGTATGGTACTGCCGCCTCCGGCCATATGCTGGTCGGCGACAAAAATGGCTGCATTGGGTTGGAATGCACCACACGGGGGATCAAGAAGCTCTACCCGGACGGTAAGGGCCGTATCCTGCATACGAACCACCTTCTCGCGGAGCACGAGGGGTCGTTCGACAACCTCTGGCTGAAGGACAGCCCCGTGCGCCTGGAGCGACTCACGGAGCTGGCAAATCAGCTGGGCCGCAATCCCAACGAGTCCCAAATTGCCGAACTGTTCAAGGACGATCCGTACAACCTCAACCAGGAAGTCGATGATTATGATTCCAAGGACGAGGTCAGCCCTCCGAAGCAGGCAGCCGTTGTCAAAGACAAATGCCAGTATGGGATCAACCGCGCAGCCGGCGAAGATGATCGTGCGGAGACGCTTTTCAATATCATCATGGATTTGCCAAAGGCCAGCGCGATCTTCAAGTTCGGTCGCCCTCACCAGCCTGACGAAGTGCTTATCCTTACCCCTTGAGGCGACTGCCTCATACAAATAGAGAGGAATCGCGCGACCTGTAGGATCATGTTCACCCCTGCGGTACCTTAATGCTTTGATGAGCATGAACGCGGTTTCAGATTCGGAATTTGTCGTGGATAGATGTACCCTGTAACCAATATAATACTAAATCAATTTGCTGGCATTTGATTTCGTGTTCCTTGTGATGTATGTAACTGTTGTCGAGACTGTGTAAGATAGACCAAATTGATGTCTATGCTGGTGCGACAACCCACCATGCGAGCAGCAGCAATGTATTGGTGTGTCCTAGTTTACGCTATCGTGTGATATGCGATGGTGTGCTGACGGCCATTGCTGGCACGCTCATTGCAAACGGTACAGCCTGCCCTTCAAAGCACTAGTTCGGGTTATCATCCCGACATCGATTGCAATCACTTACGCCACACTTCCATCCCCGGACTAGCAACGTCGACTGGTGCTTTCATCCTAAACAAATAGTGCTAACCTTGCCTCTCTTTCTGGTTGGACTCCACGGCATTCTCCGACACCCCTTATTGGGCAGGGAGATGCAAAAGCTGTTGCAGTCTAAATGACGCGGGTAACATCGGAAAATGAATTGGTATGATGCAATGCTGCTGAAAATAAGTCGCCAAATATTTTGCAACCGATGAGCTCGGCGATGGCCGTCGGAGGACCTGATTGAGGATACATATGATGACGCTAAAGAAATTCAGAGCATCGGAGTGGGACTGGCCCTGAATCTGAGGAGAGCGTTCCTTCTTCATTCCTGTATGCATTTGGTCGTTCATCAGCTGACACATGTCGATCAAGGTATTGGCAGAGAAAGGCCTTTTCAACGGCGCCCCAAGTTTCGCTTTCAATTGGAGCCGACGCTAGTAGGCCCCGAATGTCTGTGCTGATGCGATCATCCCCAGCGCGTTGAACGGGGAATGTGCGTCATGTCGGGATACCGACCAGAGCGTGTTCTAACTCGAGGTATGAACCAGGCTGGATACTGCTTGAGGCATTGCGGATCATGGCATGGGTCATGGCATATGGCGTGAGTATGTTCATGTCATATGTGGAATACATGAACCGGATCCGAAGGGACACTCCCATAAACACTCAACGACCACCTTTACCCTTCATCTGCTGCTTGGACACTCGGGGACCGGTGGTGTGAGTGCCAGCGGGACGAGCAGGCTGAATAGGCATGAGCAACATGTCTGTATGATCTGGATGATACACACCTTGTTCTTCTTAGCCTCCTTCGCCTTCTTCTCCTCCTTTGCCTTAGCAATAGCTTCGGAGCGTGCCTTCTCACGGACATCCTTGCCCTCGGTCCTGCGAGCCATCAGGGTAGCAAGATCAACACCAACCACACCACGCTGGTGCTTGACGGTCTTGCGCGCCCGGCGCTTGGCCACTTCTTCGGTTGTGCCCTTCTTGTGCATGCGACGGTACAGCTGGGTCCAGCTGATTTTACGCGGGTTCTTGCGCTGAAGGAAAAGCGAGGCATTCTTGGATGTTGCGAAGCGGAAGACCTGACGTGATGGATCAGTATTGTGCGAAGTATCTCGATTTGATTAGGCGCACCTTCGAGTCGCCGCGAACGAACAACTTGCCCTTTGACGGGTAGATCTTGAAGCCGGAGAAAGAGTCTATTTCGACCTTCATCTGAGTGAACCGTCAGGAGCTGTTGAATGTGCGACTTCGACAGAGGCATGCAGCTCGATGACCTAGTCCCTGCTTCTCCGCGAACTCCATCCAACCACTTCGACCAGCATCCACCTCCCCCGTCATCCATCTTCATCTCTCTCTCTCTCCATCGTCTCCCTACGAGCCATCCCAGCGCAGACTGCATGCCTCCACCGTCGAAAAGAATGAACTTACTTTTGCTGATAAGGAGGGGTTGTCGGCGAGGTCGATGTAGAGGGACTTTTGGACGATGAGGACAATTGTGTAACCCGGAAGCACTTATCAGTGGCGATGCAAAAGGCATATTTGATCCCGGTCCACTTGAAGCATCTCTCCGGGTGAGAACTGGAGGAGTCACCGAATCACGATCAGTGCATTAATTTGGCCAGGGCTTTCAGTGGGAGGCTTCGTGCATCCCGTACAATACTTTGACATAAATGGAAAACAGTTTGTATACACGGAGGTGAACCATCCTTTAGAGACTCTCCGCGGCATCGAATCCGCAGACTCGAAGCACTTAGATCAGGATCATGTATGCCGTTAACAATCGAGGAAATCGGCAGCCATCAATCTAAAATTCCCTGATTAGAATCTCGATTTCAAGTCAAAACATGAATAACTGACATCTCCAGAGCGAGCGCAGCGGGTATGCGTTTCATAAAGTCAGGAATTGCAGTCTTACTCGCGGAATCGCCAAACTCGGACTTGAAGACGAGATATTCTACTACAGTTTCAAGCACAGCTGCTCTATAAACAGAATAGTAGTTAGCCAGATCGCTAGATTGAAGTATCGGTTTGTCATACCTCTCACCGCAACGGATGACTTTGGTCTCCGACTCCTGGAAGCCGACTATCAAACAAAAGATCAGAGCACGATCTTACTTCATCCACGTGCATGGCTCACCTGTGCTGTTCAAAGTACTCTTGAAGAAGCCGCTTGTCTGAGCCGCTTTCTCGGGAAGAATGAACGTGAACCCATCATCACTGATGAGCTTCACCCAGCCCGAAGGACCTTCCTACCAACTAGCCATCAGAATGAGAGTTCTTTGTCTTGTGCGCAGTTATACCTCCTGATTATCTTCCATCTTTGGCTTGAAACTAAGTGATGCGTTCGGCGTGGCTGTTGGTGGTCGGCCCTCAGGATGAAGGGACAACCAGATTTACCTTACGCGTCATAGTTGGATCACGTGATTGAGTTTGGTATCTGGAAAATTTGCACACTTACCTGATTAGTTATCAGAAAAAATGTCTTCTCGAATGATACATACTATTCCTGCATACAATATTATGTCATATACTTTGGAGTTTGTGAATTTGCGACGTGACTTCCTTTAGCCATTATCAGGTGCTCGGAACGGCCCATGAGCTAAAATAGGAGCAGTTTGCTTCCGCCACTGTCCCATCTTCCCTGCGCACGACTTCCTCGAGGTCGATAGTGTGTGTACCCTAGACAGTGCCCTTTCCCTCTCCTTTTCTTCTGTTATATAGCGGCTCACGACACATGTCCCTTCCCAAGGTGCGCATATATGTCTATTGATATCAAGCGGGGCTGATACGCGCGTTGCCAGCGAATCCTCAAAGTGAGCGGGTCCACGATATATGATGCACGAGCATGGGCGCTCATGCGATGTTGTCATACCTGTAGGAGACTGAACGACTCAGGAACGACCCTGCCCCTGGCATCACTGCAGTTCCGCATGAAGACAATGTCAGATACTTTGACGTGACTGTCGAAGGGCCGGATGGAAGCCCATTTGCTGGTGAGTACTGGAATCGGTTTCTCAACTGCTTCTTGTTGTGGAGGCGATGTCAACGAGCCCTGTTCTGTTCGACCAGTTTGCTGCATATACCTTACTCTCGAACCTGTTCTGAGTGCCCGTACCCCTTACCCCCTTGATTGCTTAGGCATACCTCTCGAAGATCCGCGCTGATACAACTAAACAGGTGGCAACTTCCACCTCGAGCTGTTCCTGCCAGAAGAGTACCCTATGGCGCCACCAAAAGTCCGCTTCCTCACTAAGATCTACCATCCCAACATTGGTGCGCATATATGCTTTTGTTGTGCAGGAGACAAGTTCACAATGAGATAGACAAACTTGGCCGGATTTGCCTCGATATCCTTAAAGGTGCGCATGTATGCGCCTGACATGTTTACATACGCTTACTTCTATCGATGATAGACAAATGGTCACCAGCACTCCAGATTCGAACAGTCCTTCTCTCTGTACAAGCCCTGTTATCTTCCCCGAATCCGGATGATCCGCTGGCGACTGATGTAAGCACACCATGCTTGAGCTGTCAGCGTGACTCCGACTTATTCCATCTCTAGGTCGCCAAACATTACAAGGAGGACTTGCCCGGCGCACAGGCCATTTCGAAGGAGTGGACGGAGAAGTTCGCTGCCAAGTAATGCTAATGTGTGGGAGGACTGGCGTCTGTCAGCGCTGTATGTGAAGGAAGGGTGCCCGTGGTCGTCATGCACAGCTTTGATTCCTTCCCACTCGGTCCGATATCCAAGTGTATCATTCTCAGCATATCCTGTCGTTCCTGCTGTACCGTACTCTAGAGCATGCGTGGACGAGATGAAAGAGACCAACTTGAGAAATTTACTGCAGATGTAGCGCCAATCAAGCGAGTGCAGATAATGCACTGCTCTTAGCCGCGGCACCAACGGCAAGCCGGTGTGAAGAATCGCATCCGCGCCGACCACCATTACATACTGCAACCGCTATCACCCTCATACCTCCTATACCCATCTTTTGCATGTCGTCGACCACACCTGGCCAAGTGGGCTCTCCAGAGCCTATGTCCACAACCTCAACACGTCCGTCCAAGAGATCGCTCGAAAGTCCAGAGCAGCAGAATCGAGGGGAGGGTCAGGACGACCGGACGAAGCGTCGGCGGAGCGACGAGGACGTTAGCGTGGGGCGCCCCGAGCAGCGCATCGCAAGTTCAAGTAGGAGTTTGAGCGGCGCATCGGCTATGGAGCGTGGCATACGAGAGATGGAACTGCAGGACCAGCAACCGGACCGGACACCGGTGGGAAATGGCGCAGAGCAGAGAACGACTGTCGACCATGATGCCTTTGCGTCTGAATTGGATATGGACGTAGATGAACCTCACGCATCATCGTCTGCAGCTCAGCTATCTACCGCATCTCAACCGCGGTTTGGAATTCGACCTTCTGCGATAGCGAGCTTCGATCGAAGTGGTACTCAGTCAACGTCTTCTCCAGACGACGGTTGGGTCACTCCCGACGAAATCCCTCAGAATCCGCAAGCTCGTGCTCGTTCACCTCCCTCGACAGAGGAAGTCAGGACTGAACTTGCTCGTGCTCAGAACTTCTCGGACACTATTGCGCCTCTACGCCGGTCGCTCTCTCCCCATCCTGTACCTCAGCCGGAGCGACATACGGGTCAGTTCGGAGACTTCATCAGCCTGCTACGACCTACCCTCCGAGACCTTACGCCATCATCCTTCACGAGACCTCTCATATTCCCTCAGGATACTTTTGCTGAGATGGGAGTCGCAACTCCGAGTGCCTTACCGGATCGACATCCACCGCTGTCTCTCTCTCTCCCTCGTTCCCAGAACTCATCTCGATCGTCTGGCACGGTTCTTCAACGCCTGGGTACCAGCGAACGTCTTTCCCAAGTACCAACCTCTCCACCCCAATCGCAGTTTGAGACGAACTGGCTTCGACATCCTTCCCTGGGAGGGCCGTCTATGCTGCCAGCTGGTCAAGCAGGTGTGCGACATGAGCCACCACCAGCACCACATAGTCCACTTCTCCACCCTTCCCTGCACACACCTCCGTTAGTCAGATCTGTCCCCAGCATTCCTGATATAGGACGATTCTCTTTCCCTAATAGCCCGGACCCAAGCCTTCACAGCAGCCCAGCTAGCAACGAGTCGGACATTGCACCCACTGTTTTTCCTTCACCTCCATATCGTACGTGGCCGGATTTCAGGCCTCTTTCTCCCGCACCCCGCCTTTCTCTGAATGGAGAACCGCTTCTTCGGGAAAATGATCGACTCCGTCATTCACAATCGTTTGATCCCACTGTACCGGCTCAGGGGCTCTTCCCTACCTTCAGCAGAGCGCGTCGGGACCATGGTGGTCCACAAGATCCCCCACAACAAGGGTCACTCCGTGTTGCCATACCCGATTCTTACGTTACCAGCCAAAATAACGACATGGAGACATCGATGAGTCGGGGAACGCAAACTGCTCGCAGTGAGGCCAGTGATCTCCAGGTGAGACTTCCTCCCATTCGGACCAGAGGACCACTGCCTGGTGTGTCGTCCGTTGTTGCTGGCCTACCCGAGAATGCAGCACGATCTGCAAGTAACGATGAAGGGAATGCCAATGGCCCCTCGAATGGCGAATCTAGTCGGCAAATCCTGGAGAATCTGATTCGTATGCGGGATTCTGGCCCAAATGCGTCGAGACAAGGAACTAGCGGAGCGGAAATTCTTAGTGAGACTCGTCACGAACCCAGGATGCCAGAACAACAACAACAGGATCAGCAATTGTATTGGTCCTCCGGTGTACGTTTTCCGCACTTCCAGGGGTTGGTTTGCTTACGGATTCTTGTCAGCGAGAGCGGCAACCAGAAACCTCGAATGTGCGACAGGAAACGGCGCGTCAACGTGTCCAGCAGTCATCTACTCGACGGGTACGGATATTTCTCCATGGTATATCAACAGCTAACTCACCATCCTTTTAGGATCGTGCAGCCCAGCGGATCCCTATGCCCATCCCTATGCCGACTGCTCGAAACAATGCAACTCAATTGCCATCTTTAGATGCTCTCAATGATCTTCCATCGACCCGTCTTATGCCTCCGCCGAACGGATCGCCCTCGTCACCATGGTCGATTTGGCGTACAATGGACCCCGAGATTCTCCGCCGCGACCGGCCACATCAGGCACAAATTCTAGAATTGTCTCAATTGCTGAATGAAGTACAGGAAAGCACGGAACACGTGGAGTCGGGCATAAGGAGGACGATGACGGGCACTGAGGATGTGCCTCTTATTCGAGTAGATGCGCCCCCAACAACTATGGATCAGGACGTCAGTCGCGCGGGCCGTCAGCATATTCAACAGCTCTTTTCCCGGGAGAACAGCCTTGGTCTGGAAATGAATAATCCTTCTCAGACCAGAGCAGCTGCATCTCGGGCTGTCGCACCGCCTTTCCCCCGACCTATCACGCCAATGTCTCGTGATTTGACGGTGAACAGGGAGCCTAGTTCAAGCCGGGAGAGGATGACTGAAGCACTGGACGCACTTTACAGAGACAGGTTGGAGATCGAGGAGCGAATAATTACGGCCCGCAGGGCGGGGCTAACGACAGCACCCCTGGAGGAAGCCGCGCGCTTCTTGCGTCAGGCCTCAAATGCTCTACAGGGTGCAATCACCGTTGAAGCGAGAGCCCAACAGATCTTGACCACACATGCGGTGCCAGCCGCACCGGCACCCCCAATACGGCCTCCGGCGTCCCGTCGCGAAGCCTCGGATGAGCAAAGGCAAGCCGAATTCGTGAGTTTCAGGACTTTTTGGACGGATTGAATAGAAACTCACCTCCCCATCTTAGATTCGTCTCATGTCGGAGACAGAGCCATTGCTAGCAGAACATCGCCGCACTGACGCCGCTATCAGGCAGTTGGTGACTGAAGGACCGAGTAATGTGAGCTTTTCGCCCTGGATGGTTTCTCCCATCATCCTAACGAGAACTCAATCTAGAATCAGATTGCATCTGCCTTCAACGCTGTTCCATCGATTCCCCCCACAGGATGGAGCGCTGACGACCTGGCGGCCAGAGATGCACGACAACAAGCGGAACTAATGCTACAAATTTACCGTCGTGAAGATGCACTCCAGTTTTCTCGGGAAAGGATTGTTGGCCCCGAAGCTGGCAGAGACACTGGTTTGCGCCGAAGACTGCCTGCCTACGCGCCACCAAGCGACGAAAGAGAGGCTAATGTGCGGCCAGTCGGGCCCTCAGGAGCAACCCCGCCATCTCTGCCACCTGTCCCTCCGCGCCCATCACCGAGTTCCCGGTACGATCCAGTTAGGGACATTGATCAAAATGGGCACAACGAAAGAACCCGTCCACGCATGCGGGCCGTTCCCTTGACCCCCTTGCGTACGGACCCAGCGTTTTACAGCCCAAGGAATGTCGTGTAAGTACATTCTGCGACAGCATTACTTCCATGCTGAGCTTTGTCTAGGTCGTTCCGACAACAGATTCGGTCCAGAGAGCGACCAAATTCATTTGCCGCTGCGACTTCTTCCCAGCCGATAGGTCAGACTAATATTATTCGACATCAGCCATCCGCTCTATCAGCACCAGTCGAACCGGTCAGCGCTCGGAGCGCAGCTTTGCAGGAGCAACTTCGTAACCGTTCTGTGTCACTGGAGACGTCATTACAGGACCGCGATCGCCGTACTGGGTCGCTGGAACCATCGTTGCAAGAGCGCGAGCGTAGGTACATTCGCTCAAGATTGAGCCGATGGGACGACAGCTTCAGTTCACGAGGTGACGACCGGCCTTCTTCTTCTCTGTTTGCGGGATCGCTTGTGACAGACGATGATATGGACATCATTAGTGACAGTGAGGCATTCACCACGGCCACGTCAGCCGCGCGCCGTTCAAACCCTGTGCTGCCCATCCCCGAGCCCCAGCGAGAACGCGCAACCCAGAACGAAATTTATCGAGAGCATTTGCGCCGACGGCGAGAGGAGCGTCGTAATTATGACCAGACACTCCGTCAGCGTCATCGACCTCGACCGGAAGAATCTGAAGACAGTGAAGCACACGATCGCCGCATCCGATCGTATGAAAGCTCATGGGGTGGCCTTCTTGCTGATCGTGTTGCACACCAAGGTCAGACGGGGACGTCGTCTCGGCCTCGGCCTCGGCCTAGTGCTTCAGTGTCTAATCTCAGCCTCCCAAGCCTTGCAAGCAACAGACCCACACCAATTCCTCCGCCCAGAGAGAGCGATCCTATGCTAGCGGAGCTTGCTCGAGATACGGAGCCTCGTGATAGATTAAACAGGTTGCTCTATCGAACTGGAAGAGGAAGCTCTGATAACCAAACTGATGTGTGGAGCACGTTCCACCCGGCCGGACCGGGCTGGCGATACCGTTCACGTCTCGCTGATTATATCGTACGTTGAGCTCGTTTGTATGTATTCCGTGACTGATCTACGTGAGCAGAGCGATAGTGACATGTCCTACGAATCGCTGCTTAGACTTTCTGATCGCATTGGATCGCATCCTCGTGGCGCGACTCCAGAGACAATTAGCAGGTTGCGTACCAACCTGTACCGAAACGAACCGGAAGCAGGCGAGAACAAACATTGCACCATTTGCCTGGAAGAGGTGAGCATGCCGAACCTCTCCGTGAGCTGTATGCTGAATAAGAATTTAGTACGGACAAGATGATACCGTGATGCATCTGGATTCTTGCCCGCACTGGTTCCACAAGGACTGTATTGAGACGTGGCTCTCACGCGCGCGTACCTGCCCCTGCTGCCGCGCTACTATTGGGCAAGGCAGCTCTTCCCGATCCACTGCTGGTCCGTCCGAGGCACGCGGGATTGGAGGGTTCTTCGCCATACTCAATCGCCCAAGACGGCAGACGGGGACTACGTCCCAGCAGGAGGTGCCTCTCCCACCCCCGCAGGAACCGCATCACCTGCTTCAACAGGTACATCAACGACAGCAAGCCACGATCCAGCACGCTCAGGCTCAACCACAACAGCAACAGCAGCAGCAATCACAACAGCCGCAATCGAACTTCAACACAGCACCGGCCCCTGTTGCACTCGAACCGCGTTCCTTGGCTCACCCTGGGTATGTTGGATCCTGGGACGCGGCCTACGCCAGCAGCTCGTTGAACCCGTGGATGCAGGATGACACGTCCATATTTGAGCGGCCTCTGCCTCCCCTACCCAATGCACCTGCCGATGAGGCTCCTTCACCTGCTCAGCCGAGGAATCCCCCTACATCGTATGTCAGGGGACAACGTGAGCCTGCTACAGTGGGGGAAGTCCAGCCGCAACCTGTCCAGCAAGCACAAGAGAGACAGCGTAGTCGCACCCGCAGTGTCGGCACTACCAGGTTGCATGACGAGTCATCAGACGACGACAGGGATTCCTATGATATGTACTTGCATTTTGAGAACGATGAGCATGAGACAGATATGAGCTAGTCGCTTGAAGTTGTCTGGAGGGGTATGGATCAAATTTGTAGAGTATTATCCTGATGCACTCTTGTGTACATACAAGACGAATATTGGCTAAAACATTGTAATGAACATGCCCATAACAACAACTGAGAGTCACAGGCAACAGTCGGCGCAGAAGAGTCACGAAGACTCGGAAGCGCAGTTCCGAGTATATGTGGCGGTGCTTCCAGTTGCGGAACCGTTCTGGTACTCATCATCCCCGCCCTTCCTCTTTTCATCTTGTCCGCCTCTTCGTCCTCCTCGTCCACCTCCAATTGGACCTCTTCTGTTGATTACACACGATGCCAGGTATATCAAGCGATGACAAGGCGAAGATAAAGAGCACCCTCCCTACTTCGACCAACAAGGTCTCCACAGCGGCGCTCGCGAGAGTATACTACGCCTACCCAGACCCGAGCTACTGGTCATACGCAGGGTTTGAGGGTGGCTTGGCCCTGGTGTTTGATAAAGGAAGGAATAGCAATTGGTTCAAGTTGATCGATTTGAGTGTGAGTGACTTCTTCTGATAGATATGGGAGGGGCTCACCAGAGTAGGGAACGAGAGGTGTCATATGGGAACATGAACTCTATGAACCTTTCCAGTATAATGAGGATAGACCCTTTTTCTATTCCTTTGAGGGTGATGTATGTACATCATTCTTTGTTTTGTGCTCTGCGTTGATATTTATATTCTCAGGAATGTTCCATCGGCCTTGTCTTCTCCGATGAGAGCGAGGCGAAGACAATGCGTAAAAAAGTAGAGGGACGGGCCAAGTCGAGTGCGTATCTGTTGAATTGATTGCCATGAAACCTACCTACTCATGTTTATTCAGGTAAGAAAGCTGTTGCTCCCGTGCAGCAGGCAGCTCCTGTACCCTCATCGCCCACAGGGAAGAAATCAAAAAAGAAGAAAGGTGGCAAGATCGATAAGTCGATGATTTCTGCGCCCACCGAATTTAAGCACCTCGCGCACATGGGGTATGACACGCAGAAAGGTTATTCTTCAACGGGTGTAGATCCCTCATGGACGACGCTCCTCGAGACGCTCGGTAATATGGGCATCGGTGCGAGTTCTATCAAGGGCAATGAAGCGTTTGTAAAGCAATTCGTGGACGCCCGTGGAGGGGTGGACGCCTTCAAACAAGAAGCAGCGGTTAAGGCTGCGCAAGCCGATGAGCAGAGGATCAAGAGGAAGGCTCCACCTCCTCCTGCACCCAGGAGGCAGGTAACCGTCGTCCCACCCTCGGAACCCACTCGAGCCCCTCCGCCACCACCGCCGCCCACAGCACCGCCAGCGCCGCCGGCAGTTCCTATTATGGCCCCTCCGCCCCCACCTGCCCCTCCAGCTCCTTCAGTTCCACCGCCGAGCAGGGCGCCTCCCCCTCCAATGAGCCCGCCGCCACCGCCTACGAGCGCTCTTTACCCTCCTCCTGCACCACCGCCGCCCCCACCGCCCACTATGGCTCCTCCACCCCCGCCTACAAGCGCACCCCCTCCGCCGCCGAGCGCGCCTCCTCCTCCCCGGCCACCCTCGGCGCCTCCAGCACGGAGCACTCCCGCACTACCGACCGCTCCTCCTCCGCCTCCTCCAGGAAGGGCCCCTCCACCTCCTGCACCCCCTCCCCCTCCTCCGGGAAGAACAGCTCCACCACCTCCCCCTGTTCTCCCCCCTGCTCCTCCTACAGGCCCCCCGCCTCCTCCACCGCCTCCTCCTCCTCCTGTGGGTGGCCATGCACCCCCTGCGCCTCCTCCGCCTCCTCCGCCAGGTCATGCACCTCCGCCTCCGCCTCCACCTCCCCCTCCAGTCGGTCACCCACCCCCCC